CATTGACCATTTGCCAAGCCATGCTCTTAATTTTGAGGGCTAAGTGCTCCACCTGTGTAGTTATAATTAATTTAGTCCTCATCTTTATTCAGGAGAGCTGAGCAAGTACCTACATAAAACATTATTAGAAATCATGACATTGCTCTCCCCTTTTTATTAGCTTAAGCATGGCCACATGCACGGAACAAAAGTATATATATCGCGCTCCTAACCTATGGGTAAGTCTGACGATCACATCCAGAGTGCATAAAAAGTAAGCAAATACACCAGCAATTTCAAACAGCATGCAGTGAAAACTACGAAAAGCTCCGACACACACCAGAAGATAAACATCCAGCGGCCTAGCCTAAATCTAGAAATGGTGCCCTAGCAAACAATTCTATGTGTGTAAGGCTGGTGTGGTTTGGATAAGTCCTAAGCAGGGTAGTTAGTTAAAGTTATCTAGAGTTCATGTTTGTTGGGAGTCTGAAAAGGTTATTTTAGTTGAAATTCAAATATTAGTGAATTAGGGTCCATTCTAATTATTTAAGTTGATTGATAGTTTTAATAGCTCAGGATACTGACATTTAAAGTTCAAGTGATATTAGCCAATTTCAGAAAGTCTCGGGTCCTTCTATGAACTAAGCTAAGGGTCCAAAAAGTCACTATGGAAAAGAGGTTAGGTTTGGGTTTTCTATCACCTTAGGAAAATACTAGACCTTAATAAGAGAAGTTAGACAGGTAGTACACTGAAATAGGAGTTTTCTAGGCCAATTTCTGAGAGTCTAAGATTTTTAATAAATACTAGGCCCTAATTGAAGTCTAATGCAAGTGAGTTTACCTAATTTCAAATTTTCTACAATTAGTTATAAAATTTTAAAGATCGGGTAATTAAGGGAATTTCTAAATTAACTAGGAAATGACTAATTTTACTGTTTTGATCCAAATGAGCTCCAAACTGATTGGAATCACTCATAAAGGTCATGAATGACCTGAGAAATTGATCCCAAATGTTTGGGGAAAATTTGTGATTTTTAATAATTTTTAATGAATTATTAGGGGCAAAATGGTGAATTCCACCTAAGGTCAAATTAAGGGTCAACCTAGAGTCAAACTAAGGAACCCTATTTATCTAAGGTCAAGATCAGATTTTGGTCAGTTTGAGGTATTATGGGTAATTTTATGACCTAAAATGTATTTATTGTAATTTTCGGAAGGTCTCGGGGTCTTATTTAGTATGTTAATTAAGGTTGGTTAACTAAGGGGTCTAACAAGCCCTAAAAATTTCTAGAAAATTCTGTGATGTTTCGGATGTCACTAAGTTTAAGTTTTAAAATTTTCATGTCAATCGAGGATCTATCCTAGCTCCTAGAAAACTTCTAAGTTTGCTAGACGGGTCATTAATTATTGTCCTTAGGGTGTCACTACGTTGTAGGAGTTTAAAGTGATGTTTTATCTAACCCTCAAGGTAATAGATGCATGGGAGACATAAAAAAGTAAACACACCATGTCCTTAGATCTAGGAGAGCCTAAGCTAAGTGATCGTGGTGCAATCCTATACATGCAGACTACAAACAACAAGAAAATGAAAACACCTAATGAAGGGATTAGTGAATGATTGGAATCCAACCATCCACTAACCCTCTCCCCCATGATTTGCTCTTCACACCTAGAATCCATGTTTAAAATTTCATGAAATAGTGGGTCTCTCAAAGTTAGGAGATTTAATATATAAATAGTTTCAAAATAGTTTTAAAATACTTAAATACAAAATAAAATTAAAAAAAAATCTTCATTAAAATATTAAATAGTTAAACTAGTTTACTAATTAAATATTATTAAAGAATAATTGAAATAGATAATTATAGGAAATAGAAATAAATAATTAAAATAAGCTCAAAATAACTAAATACTAATTATAGTAATAAAAATAATCCTAAAACAGTAACTAGACTATTAGAATAATAATTAAAATAATTTCAAAATAATACATTAGAATATATATACCTATATATATATATGAGTTTGAATCCTGGTCAACTCAGTCAAATGGGTCCAATGGGTATTGGGTTTGAGCCATGAATGAGTTTGAATTTGATTTGGACTCAAAAAGGGGCTTAATTGACCCATTAAGGCTTGGGTTGACCAAGTCAAAAGTTGACTTGGTCAACTCAGTCCACTATGCCCGTGTTTGGGCAAAATCGAGGTCAATAGTTCCGATGCACCCAAGTTCGTCAAGACGAATCTGCATTTTTTACTCAGTTCGTCCAGACAGTTCGTCCGTACTAACCATACAGATTTTCATAATTATCTTCAGTTCGTCTCGTACTAAGGCCAGTTCGTCTGGACTAACAGCACTCACAAAAAAAAATGAAAATTTGAGGGGTTTTACACCGGGCACCACAAACCCATATTCTAATCCCAGAACAGACTCAAGTGACTTTGAGTGAGATACTATTTGTCCTTCTTACCTTCAAACTCATTAGATTTGTCCTACTTGGAGACCTAAATGGAAAATAAAACCCTTCCCTCGAGGGGGAGGTTATTCTTTTCCCATTTGGGTATTGAAATGATTTAAAATCGGGCTTCCAAATAGAAAAGAATGATCTCCTTGAGGGGTATAATTTCCTCTTTGAAATCCAATTTTAGATATTTGTATCCCAACTCAAATACTAACTTTCACAACTCTTAACTTTGAATAAATTAAATTAATGTAAAAGTAAAAAATGTAAACTATCTTGTAGGGTTATCCTAAGTATTTAATAATCAAACAAATCCCACGCAGTTATATATAAATGCAATGAAGTAAATCACATTTGGCCACCCTTTTTATCTAAAGGTAAAATATTGCCCATCACATCAATTTAGAGATTGTAATTAAAGTAAATAAATACTCACAATAATCAATTTTAGTCATATCATGTAATAAAATCTTAGAAAACCCGACACATAGCAGTAAAACTAAATATCGGCCTAGGCTAGAGTTGGTTGTCCTATCAAATCATCTAAAGTGTGTCAGGAGGTTGTGTTGTTGGGATATGTCTTAGAATGAGTGATTTGTTAAAGTTGTCTAATATTCGGGTTTGTTGAAGGTTGAAGAGTAAAATTGAGTTTGAATGCAAATGTTAATGTATTAAGGTCTATTTTATGATATGTTTTAAAGATTGAATGATCAAATGACTTTAATTAGTTAAAGATTAAGAGATTGATGAATTTTAACTAGTTTTTTAATTTTGATTTTCCATCAACCAGTTCGTGGCATTGTGCTATCAGACTCGAGGAATCATACCTTCTTAGGATACTTAACCTGCAACATGAAGTAGTCCATCCTAAAAACCTAGTTTATGCAGTTGAATTAAGGATTTTAATTTGGTTAATTTATTAAAAATCAATTAATTCTAGAATTTTATACTCCATTGAATCTGTTTGAGGCGTTGTGCCATCAGACTCAATGAACCATACCTCCTTAGGACTTTTAGCCCCGCAGCCCGAAGTAGTCCATCCTAAAAATTTCCCATTTGGAGTACTAGAATGTTGGTTAATTGGTTTTTATTAATCAAGTTAGAGTTTCTAAAATTTTAACCAATTATTGAATTTTGGAATTATCAAAATTATTTAAATGTGTTAATTAAGAGGTTAAAAGTTGACTTTTAAAACTACCGTGATTTTTGGAATTTTAGTATTTTTATTAGATATTATAGCTTAAAATAAGTAATTAGACTCTTAGTTTGCTCAATTTGGAATTTTTTACATTAAATTATGATTTTTTAAAATTTTGACCTTATTTTGGACTTCGGTTGATCGGGGAGTTGACTTTTTAACTCTGACTTAATTTTAGGATTTTGATATTTTAAAAAATACTAGATTTTGATTAAATTGGAGTTTTCCTGGAATTATGGGTGATTTTTCTAAGATTGTATATTTTTGGAATTTCTAAAATTATCTTAATTAAGGAGATTTTTAGATTTTGATCCAAATCAATCCCAAACCCTTTGGAATCACCCCCAAAGGTCAAAGATGACCTAAGAGGATATTTCCAAGCATTTGGGAAATTTTTAGAAGTTTTTAAATATTTTAAATTAATTATTTTAATTAATTGTCAATTTTACTTAAAAATTAAATTAAGGTTAAATTGAAGATGATTTGATTGAGCTTTTATTTTTCATGGATTAAGGGTCCAATTAGAGTCAATTAGAGTCCTTATGTAAACTTTTTTAAATTTAATATGAAATTTACTGAATTAATTAAAATATAGGTCAAATTTTGAGAGGGATTTTGGGGTTCCAATGTTGTAATGCTTTGTCATTATGACATATTCTTTATAATGACTATCATTTTATTATTTATTGTGCATGCCTAATGTGGTAGTTTTATTCCTTGCTATGGACTATGTATTATTTTATTATGTATACCTTAATATGTATTTTGCTATGATTGCATTGTATTGTAACAAGAACTATTATAGTTGCCAAAACTTAGTCTGCCACATCTATGATGTTCAAATCATATTTGGATCATGTTCGAATACTATTCAAACATGTTTCAAATACCATTGGAATGCTGATTGAATTATATTTGAATGAGATACACAAAATGTTCGTATTATTTTCAAATAATGTTCTAAAGATGTTTGAACCTTTTTAAGTCAATATTTATAATAATGAATAAAAGTCGAGAAATTTTTATCTGAAACTTTCAAATATATTCATCTAAGAAAATAAATATTAGAATATCAATCCAAATTTCATCATATATGCCAACATATAAATATGTGAGTTAATTTTTATATTTTTTGATAAATTTATAATTTATTTTTATGATATGATCATGATTTTAGATTTAAAAAAACTTTAGTCATTGATACATTTTTCATTTTTGTCTCCTTCAGGAAACCTTCCTGGGCTTGACGGCACCCACAGCCCTTTTGCGCCCAAACCGTCTAATAAGATGCGACATTAGTTATAAATCTTCATCGGACGGCTACATATAGAGATCAGCCTAAGACGGCGCATTATATCCTTTTCTGTATGTCGCGGACTGAAGAAGGGGGACTCCGCCGGTCCGCCTTATTTCTTCTTGGCTTTAGCTAAGCCCTAAACCTCAATTGGCAAATCCGCTCGCGCTCTTCTTCTTCTTCTCGATCCTTCTTTCGCTGTCCGGCGATGGATTTCGACGAGTACGACTACTTGGAGAAATCAGTTGAGGTTCCTCGGATCCATAAAGATACGGGGCACCGCAACTCCCGACACCATCCCGAGGGCGAGAAGGATGGCGGTGAACGCAAGAGCCGCGAGTCGAAGAGATCAAGGACGGACGATAACGGAGGGACGGTGGATCGCGATGAACGGAACCGATCTGACCGAAGGGAGAAGGATTACCGTAGGAGCGGCGACAAGGAGCACGAAAGGGATAGGGATCATCGCGAGAGGGATAGGGAGAGAGAGAAAGATAGACACCGGGAAAGAGAGAAGGAGAAAGATAGACACCGGGAAAGCGAGAAGGAGAAGGAGAGGAGCAGGGATAGGGATAGTGAAAAAGAGATGGATTTGGACAGGGACAGGGAAAGATCTAGGAGAAGCCGCAGCAGCTCTAGGAGGCATGATATTGACAACTTAAAAGAAATGGAGAGGGCTAGGAGCAGGGAAATGAGGGAGCGAGATGAAAGGGACTCTAGGGAAATCAGGTAAGTGTGGTTGTTATTATGACATGAGCTTTTTCTTCTGTAATTTGTTTACTATATGTAATTTTTTTATTTCAATTGGTACGAAACAAGTTAGTATTCATGTCCCTTCCATGTCTTTATTTACTTCAATTTTTCGAGATTCTTGTTTCTTTAGAATTCATATCTTGCATCTTAACTTCAATTCTTCATTTCCAAACAGTTTGCATCTTGATTTTCTGTATGATGAGATGCTTGGAAAATAAATTGTTAGCTATAAGGAGGGACATGAAGTATGGGAAACTGCAATTTAATTGTCGCATGGGTACTTATTTGCTCTGTTCGTTCTTATACTTGTCATGCGAAATTGGAAATTGACCAGAATAAGCTGAATTTTTAATTTTATTAATTGAAGAATTTGGGCACTAGGAGACAAAGTGTTGTTATTAAATTTTAAATGCCTAAACTTTTCAAGTGCTAGCAATGCGATGTTGATAGATATTGGAATATGGTACAAGAAGCAAGTTTTTTATTCATGAATTCATAGGATATAAGTTGAAATTGGCCTTTTGCCTGCAAAAGATGCCAGATTATTTGTTGAACCCTCATATTTCCTATTATTTTTATGATTTTGTTGTAAACCTTTCTACTCTTTTGATAACTTATTTTTTTTAGGCACAAATTGTGTTGCGTGATGATGAATGGATACAAATGTAGAAAATAACACTTAACTTCTTAAAACTTTTATGCCCTTGAAATATAGTCGTCACTTATTTGTGTAGCTTCATGAATTGCATATGTTTTTTAATGGGTCATTCAATAGAATTTTGGATGAATTACTAAATTGAACATTGAATATTACAAGTCTTTGTGGAGGAATGAACATTAAATCTGTTATCCTTAAAACATGCAAAAATCTAGCCTAAGAATGAGATATACTGAGATTGTGTGGGTTGTCCCAAAGGGCCCCAAGCACTACCCATACTTTGGGGGTGGTTAGGCATGTGTGGGCTGGATGAATCATGCGGTCTAGTGATGTTCATGACCAGTTGGGTTGAGCATTGCCTAAAAAAAACCCGAATACAAGGAGGCATGTGATACCTCACTTTGGTTTTGATGGCTAATGCTCCAACCACTAGCCACGACAACCTTGAGATCATGATGGCTATTTGATCTCATTTATGGCTGCTTATCTTCTCCCATCCCCAAATTTAACCTTCTATGGTGACCTCCTCCAATCATAAATTGGGGATAGTCCTTGTGTCGTCCATGCTTGAGCAAGATTTTGGAGTGTTACCGGTGGAAGAAAGAAAGAGCTAAACGAGTGATTTTAGAACTTGGTTAGGTTTTGGAGGAGGAAGAAGGGGGTGGGGTGGGGAGTCCATAAAATATTTTGAAAAAAATCACATTACTATGCAAAATCCAATTAGCTCAAATATGACATCCATTTTGAAAGATTCTCTTTGATCGTCAATTCTTGGTGGGAGTTTCTAGTGGTCTATTTTAAATATTTGCATTCCTTTTTTATTCATTTAAGTTTAAATATGTTGCTTGTGATACCCATATGATTTATATTATTCCATGATTCTAAGAAGAGGATTTTCAAGATATATTCAATTTATTTTTAGAGGATAATAAGCATGCTAAATTAATAGTTTAAATTATTAGAAAATGACATTTTGTTATCAAGAAAAAAATCATTTATGAGAATAACTTATGCGAAATGATAAAAAAAATAGAAGTTATTAATATGCGGTTAATAAGCACCTTGCATGTATATTTATAGTTTTGGGGACATTTTTATTCTTTGTAAGAACCTATTGTTGCAAGGGTTTTTGTGGCCAAAGCACGATATCATTTTAGGGGTTGTAGAATCCATTGCATGATAAGAGGTGTAAGGGTTCGTTTAAGGCAATTTTTTCATAACTTCTTTTATGTATAATGTTACTGCATTTATGCTTGGCTATAATTTTCTTAATACTTTTAGAAATTTTTATAGTGAAAATAACTTTTTACAACTACTTTTGTTTGAGTGTAGTTATTATAAGAAAGTTGTCCAACTTTTTCTGCAATAACATCAAAAATTTATCCCACTAAATGGGGTCAGCTATGTTAGTTTTATTTTTATTTTTCATTGTGTCATATTAAAAGTCAAATTCTCATTTAAATCTAATAAAAAAGTTCATTTCTAATACTTTCTAACCAAGTATTTTTAGGTTTACCTCTATCATTCTTAACATATGCCTGATCTAATACATCTACTCTCCTAATCGGCTCATTGTAAGACTGACATTTTATGTGACCAAACCATATAAGGTGACTCTCTCTGATCTTATCTGCCACTAGAGCTACTCCAACATTGTCATGTACATATTTGTTTCACATTTTGTCTCTACGCATCAAGGTTTAAAATTGTGTAAATAAGCCTCGAGGCGGTGTGAGGCATAAGCCTCATGGACGAAGAATTGCGTAAATGTGAATTTAAGTATTATAGCAGGTAAATAGCTATAAGAGTCTATGATACAATCAAAATATCTAAATGAGAAGTGAACTCAGTAAAATTGATGCAATATATGCATCTCATAGCATAATTCAAAGTACAAAACTACAAATTGAAGTCTATCAGAACTCCCAAAGTACAAATAAGAAAGAACATCTAAAATCCAATCATGTCCCACCACTAAAGGTGCCTTCAGTGGAGACATCTTCATCTCCAATTGTATCTATGAAGGCCAAATCTTCATCATTTTCAATCGTACCCACTTTTCTCTTCTCTGTTTAATAAAAATGATTACTATGCTGTTAATTATATATATTTTAAATGTAATAGCACATAAAAATTATGAGATATCTTTGTTTGCTTGTTGTGCTTCAGTACTAGTGGATGTGTATGGTGTGGTACTAGTGGATCTGCCGGCTTGATTTGCTTCGCCACTCAAGACATTCCCACTTAGATCCTCTAGTTGCAGGTCTGATAATGGAAAATCTATTTCATCATCTATGAATCGCTCATTATCAGACACACATCATCACACACCAAATGGTCTTCATCATCCTTCAACCTCTTGTTCCTCAACCTCTTATTGTGCATAATATACACAAGGGAGTTCATTCTGAGTGTTGAAAGTCGATTTCTTCTCTTTGTTTGCACTTGACTATATGTGCTTCAGTTTCGCTCACACCTAGAGGAAGAACAAGTGAGACCCAAAACTCTAACTGCAAAACTCTGTAACTTAGGAGTGGAATCACCAAATTGGATCCACCATTTAACTATTTTTAAAAATGCAAACGATAATCAGAACATATTAAAATGTTATGCATGTACGGTTACTTTGCAAAAATAAGCTAACCTAGAGAGCATTTGACAATAGTAAATCTTGCTGCTTGTACACCAAAAAATCCCTCTCTATTTCAAAATAGAACAAGTTGTAAATCTGCACGCTTTGTATGTGATCAATACAGCGCGCGGCATAGGGGGTCCAATAGAGGCGTTTCCTCTTCTCCATCAACATCTGACTAGCTGCTTTATATGCACTAGCATTATCAGTCACCAACTGAACAACCAATTGCTCCCCGATCTCCTCGACAACCATCTAATAAATTGAAAATGAAATCAGCTTTTTTTACCTCATATGAAGCTTCGACTGATCATAAAAACATCGTGCCATAGGGATTATTTACAAATATATTAATCATGCTCCTGCTCTTGATGTCATACCATCCATCTGATATAATGGTAACACCTGTTTCACTCAATGTCCTTTTAATCTCATAAATACTCCGCTCTGTTTTCTGCAGCTCCTTCAAAATCCATGTCTGCAACTCGTACATGGAAGGTGCCTTCAACCCTCGCCCATACAACCCTACAGATCACAACATATTGATGTAGGCCGACGATGCCACTACATTAAATGGAATGTCATTCTAAAAAAAATGCCAATATCCATACACGCATGCTGTCGGCCCTCTCTGGTACTAGCCGCAAGCTTCATCTGTGCTTTTCCTCTATCCTCTCCTGGATTAATCATATACTGGTCCATAGAACCCTGAGCACCTCTAGTGTATATAGTGGAATAAAAGTCATTTCCACTCTCGCTCTCGTAGTAAGCACCATGTTCGACCCTGTCATCAAATTGCTCATGTTGTAAATGTTTGGCCGTGGTACTCTTCTTCATGTAAGTAGTAATTTCCTCCTTCACCTTATCCTGCACATTCACACAAGGTGCCACGTTTTTATGTGAGCCGGATAAGTGTTCCTTCATGCGGGTAAATCATCCCTTCACCACTTTATCACAAAAATGCATTTCAAATGCACGTATGTCTTCTCACTGCCGCTTATGTCATCCTGTATATTGTACTTCCAAGAAAAATCCCTCTGTAATGACGTATTTGACTTTTCCTTGCCCCTAACCATATTTCGTAATGCACAACTGCAAAATCAAACAAAAAATATCAAAAAATTTTAAACCCTAGATTTTCTATAAGTTGAAAAATCAAACCTTGAATTAAAAAAAAAACCTAAAATCGATAGTATAGGTGTTGTAGAGTGCGACCGGACATGTGCTGCTCACCGGTGTGAGGCTGCGCCGACAGGAGTGGGGGTGGGAAGGTCGGCCGAGGGATGCTAGGGCGGGGTCGTGCGGTTTGCGGCTTTGTGCGGTTCGGGTCGGCTGAGGGATGGGAGGATGAATGGGGCATTTCATTAGACACTTAAGTGAGTGGGACTCATTTTCTTGAGGCGTACGTCTCACTTGTTATTGCACAATTGGTCCTCTGAGGCGCGCCTCAGGTTATATAAGGCGTACGCCTCTCCTAGTCCCAAAATTGCTTAAGCAATAAGGTGCCTGGGGGTGAAATTGCGCAGAGGCGCGCATCTAATTGCACAATTTTAAACTATGCTATGCATAAAACCACTAATCCACCCGAGCATCCTTATCTCCACAACATTTAACTTAATTTTATGCCTCTCTTTCAATGGACAACATTTTTCAACTTTTTCTAATGGGAAAAAGATTATTATATCAACAATTTCTTTCAGAAAATATATTTTATCCACAACAATTCTACAAGTATTTTTATAAATAGCTGCAGTTTCTCCAAAGGAGCCCTCAATGACCTGTTGCTTGCTTTTTTGATAGGTTTATGTCGAGGTTTTTTGGAACTCTATCTCGAAATTCTGATAAATTTATATATTTGCAACAATTTCGATAGCTAGATGCACTTTTAGTTACAATAGATGGATGTTTCAATAATACAATAGATAGATCTTTCAACAATAGTTTATGTTAAGGACTTTTTTTATTTTTTTTATTTTTGTGTGACACACCCTATTTTAATACTGATATTTTCAGATTATTCTGTAGGACCCATTGAATAGAGGAAAAAATAATGATCTTTAAACATACTTATTTGTATGTTAGTTTTAGTTGTTTCTCATTTGCACCTTATTGCAACTATTAAGATGTAGAACTCTTTTTCATGTTTTGATAGATAAAGTATGCCGATTCTTTCAGTCTGAACTTGAATTATGCAGAACAGTGAAATGTTGATATGACCTAAATTCTGTGAAAAAAAGATTTTGTGTTTAGGAGGGGCAAATAATCCCTTGTTATTAGGCTGTGACGGTGCTAATCCAAGCTCTTGTAGGATGAGATGAGGCATGGATTGAGGTATTCCAAGTTAGCCCTTGTAGGATGACATCAAGACACATGGGGGAGGGAGGAAGGCTTTTAAGGATAATTGTTCAACACTAGGTTGACTGAACATGACGGAGGCAAGGAGGAAGGCTGTTGCAAAAGGGTTCAACACAAGGTTTTAAATGCAACGGTGGCCGATAGACATTTCTTGTTACTTTGTAGCATGCAAGTTATTTTTTTTTTTAAATTATGATATAATTGGTTTGATTTCTTAAGGGCCTGTTTGGCAACTAGCATATTTAACTATTTAGGATTTAGTAAATCTTGTAAATTCGGATTTAGTAAATCCTGGAGGTGTTAAATTATGAAAACTATTTGGCAATATAAGTGATAAAGTCTGTTAAATCCTGTGGAATTGTTTGACAATGTAATTCATGATTTAAGATGGTTATTTGAAATATGAGTTGTAGGCAATATTTTAAGTTCCTTTCTTGCTATACTTTTTAAACCAATAGCTCCAAAGGGTGCATGTAGGGTAAGAACAAAAAGCAAATTCAACATGTTATAAATGCACAATAACATTACTGTAATACATAATTTTGAATAGAAACAATGAACACAACAAATCTACATGTGTTGTGATTTTTTTTCTTCTGTGAAATTTTCTTCAACATGAGATAATTAGGTGCGCAAAAATATTACCAATCTAAATGCATATGACTAAAGTGGCTATGAAAAGGGTTTTAAAATGAGATTTGTATATCATATGCATAGTGGACACTAGATGGAAAAAGTTGGAGCTTCAACTGGTGAACACTAGGCGATGAATTGTAAGTGAGGAGGTAGAGGACATGAGACACTAGGGAAAAAATACCTCTTTATATGCGACAACGACCTGTCGGGATGGAGTGCTTACTACATCGAGCGATGGGGAGCTGAGGCCATGGTTTCAAATGGGGTGAATTGCTGCAAGAAGACAATATTTGAAAATTTGTATACCTTCCGCCCGCGGTAAGAAGTCAAGTTTGCCGAACACACGCAGTAAATTGCAGTTCCTTCTTCCTCACGCCCTTCTTTGTCCAAATACCGTAAATCTGCTGAACTCCTGGATTTACTAAATCCGGGGTTTGAGTTAATCCGGGATTTACCGCAAGAAAGTGGCAACTGCGGATTTATTCTGTCGTGAGATTTACGTCGAGTGTAAATCTCGTTTGGCAGGGTTTACGCAGTGAGATTTCCTAAATCCTGCTCAAATATGATGTAAATCTTGTTGCCAAACAGCCTCAAATGTATTTTGTTTCATTTTGTATGATTTGGTAGAGATAACAATGCTCACAGCTCACAGCTCACAGAGCTCTTATTTTGATCCATTTAAAGGCCTCAAATAGGACAAATTATTCGGTGTAGAGTCCGAACGTCGTCTAGAGGCCAATAAAAATGCGCCACGTCACCCAAAAGTGTACTGCGCTCGGTACCAAGCTGTATCGGACGGTTCTCCCGCCCGGTGTCCACACAGAATAATCTCTCCTTGAATAGAGGCAATTCTATAGTGCCATCTATATGATATGCTTTAGGCTATCTTATCGGTAATTATGAAAAATAAAAAACTTACGTTTCCATGCTTTGCAAAATAATATCATGATGTTGGGTCTTTAGTATTTACTTGAAGCTGAATTTAAGCATCTATTTGCAAATAAGGCATTTGTTAAAACTGCTTTGATTGAATTTAATAATGGAAAAAAGAATTTTGTATCATATTTACATCTCTCTACTCTTATAAGATAAGGAGTTTTTTTTGTCTAAATATAATGTAATATGCTTTATTTAGTTTTGTTTGTTTGTAACATCTATTAATGATTACTTTGATGAGTATAGTGCGTGGAGAAGTAGTTATAAATGCTTTTTTGATCATTTTTGTGGTTGTAGATGGTGAGTTGTTTTGACCTTTCATTGAACTGTGATATGCTTGAAAACTTAATGAAAGAAAGGAGCAGTTTTACGCTAAAATATTAGTCTACCTATTTGTTTGAATGTAACTTTTCTTCAACTTTGTTCAATAATCAAGTAGGTTAAAATTGACTTTATCTTTTTTACTTCCATGTTTCTTCATCTAATTAAAAGCCTTTCCATTTTCATGCAGGCGGTTCAGAGATAAAAAAGAACTGGAACCTGAAGCTGACCCTGAAAGAGATCAGAGGACAGTTTTTGCTTATCAGGTATGGTTGGAGTGTTATTTCTATCCTTGGAAACTGCACAAGAGTCATCATTTGTTTGATTTATTTGCCACATGTGTTTTTTTCCTACTCTGCTGACTCTGCAGATGCCTTTGAAGGCTAATGAGAGAGATGTTTATGAGTTCTTCTCAAAAGCGGGCAAGGTCAGTGAAATATATTTCTTATTCTTTGTTGTGGATATAGAATCTTGTGATTGCTTATCCTTCTCAATTTATTAGGTTCTACTACATGTTTTGATAACATGCACCACCTGATAAAAAGTGCCCTGATATTTACATAATTCATGCAATGTCAGGTATTCTATTTTATATAGTTGTAAAATACAAATGCCCATATTGTCGTTTGAGAGTTTCATCAACTAATTTTGTGCTTAAAAATTGAAGCTTTAGTAAGAAATCTACCACCAGGTATATTTGATGCATTCCATTGAGATACATTTGCTTCTTATTGCAGTAAATGCTTCCCTGCTTCAGTGAGGTGTATTATAATGACTTTTTTCTGGCTCAACATACTATTTATTTGGTGAGTGTTATGTAAATGGAAAAGTTGATTGGGGCCTTATCAACTTTACTACGTAGGAGGTGTAATGTGTAGTAAGAATGCCAATGCATTGTTTAAAGAATCCCTGCATGTATTTCTTTTTGGGGTGAGTTCATGATTATTTTTTTTCCAGGTCAGAGATGTGCGCTTGATCATGGATCGAAATTCTAGGAGATCAAAAGGAGTTGGGTATGTTTACTTTAAGCTGTGTGTTTTTGATGTTGCTATTAAATGTTGGTCCTTTAGAGAAGCTATTTTTTATTGCTTTGTGGAATTTATCAACTGAAGTTATTTCATAAATTTTAGATTAAGGATCTGGGTTGCAAAAATATAATCTTTTAGCGCTTGTTTTTTTCTGGTAACGCTGTGCTTTGGTTGGTAATTTTATGCACGCATGTGTTAAGATTGACAAGCTTCTCTGTAAGTGTAACCACAGTATATCTGGGGAGGGCTGGGGAGTTTAGTAAACATAAAAGGGTTTTCTTTTCCTTTTCCCTCATGGGTAAAATTTTTGACTCAATGTGTTTGGAAATGAAATGCATTGCTTGCAATAGCCAATAGCGCACACACATGCTATTTTAAACATGTTGCAGACGATTTCTTTTCTTTATCTTTAGATCTCAGATTTTGTAAATTCTTTTGTGCACAACACTAGCTTTTTCTGCAATGTTACTCTAGTAAAAAAAAAAGAAAGAAAAATCAATTGTGTGAAGGGTTTTTCCACTTAATGAATTGTTGATTTATGATGGGTATGCTTGATATATGGATCTAGTATATGTTTGTACTGTTTGATCGTCTCTTATAACGATCTCCAAGATTTCATTATTTTTCTTATTCACTTCTATGTGCTGGGCTTTCCTTACTTCAGGTATAGCTTTGGTTTTGTTATTGTGTATCTTGTTTACTTTGTCCTATGTAAATCTTCTTTTGGCAGGTATTAGAAATTTTGATTATGTTTTCACTGTTATTTTGTTGTTATCTTGTGCTGTATTTTTGACAGGTACATCGAGTTTTATGATGCAATGTCGGTGCCTATGGCAATCGCTCTTTCTGGTCATCAACTTTTAGGTCAGCCTGTGATGGTCAAACCTTCTGAAGCAGAGAAGAATCTTGTTCAGTCAAATACTACTGGATCACTTGGTGCAGCTGGTGCTCGAAAAATTTATGTCGGGAACTTGCACTTCAACATTACTGAAGATTTGCTCCGTCAGGTAGATAATATCTGTTGGATATTTTCGTTGCTATGCCAATTTCTTGCTAGTAGTTAGAAATAGTGGATGTATGGATTTTAAGAAAATTAATTTGGTTGTTTCAGTTTTATATGTTTTAAATAGTTTATATGATAGATTTTGACTTCGTTGTTGATATATATGCTTACTAGGAGTAGGATTGATTTCAGGTTCCTTTTGGTGATCTGTTCTGTATTGCATTGAATGAGATAAAATCATTGCTATGGTTGCAATTTGCTTCAAAAGCATGTTGGCATCGTTAAGCTATGACCATGGGCGCTTATGGGGATAAATTTTTTTTCTGTTTCACACAAAAATATTATTATTATTTTGGAAAGAAACACAAGGTTGCATGTTCAATGGAAAGGAAATGTGTTTAGATATTCTATACAAATGGTATTAGGATAGGCTTGAAAATCATTGAATAAACTTTAAGGGGGTAGTGCTATATATAAAGAGTTTGTGTGCACTAATCTCAAAGTAAATTCAATGAGTTTCAAACCCATCTTGATGCAATTTAGATTAGGATATTCTGACACAATTTTTAGTCATTATGAATTGAGCAGCATCAACAACAACAATAACACCACCAAGTCTTTATTTCACTACATAGGGTTGGCAACATGAATCTTTTTTCTCCATTGTACCCTATTAAGAATAAAATTCTCATTTAAATTTAATAGAAAATGTAATTTCAAATATTTTTTAACCAAGTTTTTTTTTTCAAGTTGATCTCCATCTTTCTTAACGTAGGTTGGATCTTATACATCTGTCTTAACTGTGTCATTGGAAGGCCAGCTTTTTACGTGACCAAACCATCTAAGGAGACTCTTTTTAATCTTATCTGCCACTAGAGCTACTCCAACATTTTCACTTATATACTCGTTTCACATTTTGTCTCTAAATATAAATCCACTCATCCACTTGAGCATCCTCATCTTTGCAACACTTAATTTTATGCTTCTCTTTTAATGGCCAACATTTTGTACCATAAATCATTGCAGGTCTTACCGCAATCTTATAAAATTTCCCCTTAAGTTCGAAGGGTACTTTTTCGATCACATAACATGCCTGATGCATTTATCCTCTTCAACCATCCAACTTGAATTCTACTAATAATATCCCCATCTATTTCACCATCGCTTTGGATGATAGACTTGAGATGTCTAAAGCGTGCACTCTTTTTAATGACTTTATCACACAATGTCATAATCCCACCGCTAGATCTATGACAAACATCAACGCACAAACGCATCCTATGTTGATTTTACTATTTCTTTTAGCTATAAGCATAGAGTTTTTGCTTTGCAATTCCCAGTTCAAAGTTTTTTGCATTAAAAACTAATTAAATTTTGTATTGATGGTAAATTACAGCCAATAAAATAAGATACATTGCCATGCATCTGGTATGATTACAATTGTGAATCTCTATCTCCAGGTCCCACAAAATCCAAGGAATGTTATCTTCAACATTCCTTTGGCCCAAACAACAGAAGGTACGGTATAAATTGCACGTTTTAGAGATGCTCCTGATTGAAATTCACTTCACTTTTCCTGATAACTGATGCTCCAGATTGCCACACACAATCTTGGCAATATAATATCTTCTTGCAATATAAGCCTTTACCTTTTTCATATTTATTCCACCTGTTATTTTCTCATCAATCTTTCAGATTAAACTTAGACAAACTACCCTTTTGTCTGGTCGGACTGATGGCTATTTTAATCATTCTCGTTTCTTTATCAATTATTTATTGCTTTGCTTAAAATTATGTATGCTTTATCAATTTCACTGTAGGCCTGGTACATATTGACCTATCATGTCAACATGTTTTATCTCATCATTGCCTTCTGAATATCAGGTGCTATTATTATGTGGCATATATAATGTAGAATTATGAATTGCATAAATCATCGTTTTCTGTTTTGAACTTTTTAAGCACTACAAATATAAGACCGCATCAGAATGTCTGGAAATATTATTTGTTCTTACATGATTTCACTACAAATTTAGGATCACATTAGAATGTCTAGAAATTTTTTTTGTTCTTACATGATTTGACTACAAATTTAGGACCACATTAGAATGTCTAGAAATTTTATTTGTTCTTACATGATTTGACTACGCTGTAGTTGATATTACTCTTCTTATACAATACCTTAAAAAATACCGCATGAACTGAGTCATTTTTCCTCCTTCCATTATATTAATATTTTACCTGCACATCAGTCTGGTCTCTGGAAGTGCACATGAATTGGCAAACGTTCATCTCCCTGGGATGCTGCTCGTCTTAAATTTCAGGTTTATCAGGACATGAATTATTTTGGTCTTTTTTTTGTTTAATTTTGTCTCCGCTGGCATTATGAACATTCAATTTCAATGATTTTAATTTTTGAATTAGTTCAGGGGTTTCATTGAAAATAATGGTTTGTTAGTCAATTCTCATAAAGTGGGGTGAATTTCTAACGACGAATGCTGGTGATTGTTTTTTGTGTGTTGCTCAGACCTAAAACCCTTCAACTCTTATTCAAAAGTTGTTTTTTTTTTTTTATTTGAACATCTAAGGTGTCCAAAATTATCTTAAGGAATTAAGGTGTTCTAACTCATTTAGAGGATTTTTGCCTTATTATTTATCAATCCTTGATGTGACAAAAGTTCATGATATTTGCCTGAAAATGCATGGTTTATTTTGTTTACACCCTAAAGCTATGTCTGGTTAGTTCCCTTCTCCATCAAATATCTGCACCCATTTTCAGGTTTTTGAGCCTTTTGGTCATGTAGAACTTGTCCAACTTCCACTGGATCCTGAAACTGGGCACTGCAGAGGATATGGATTTATTCAAGTAAGCATGCACCTTCAATCATGCCCATGTTTTAATGTTAATGGAATTTGCTATTATCTACTTATTTGTTCTCTGAACGTTCACGTCAGTTCTCTCAAGTTGAATATGCAAAGGCAGCACAAAGTTTGAATGGGAAATTAGACATAGCTGGCCGGATAATCAAGGTTGTAACCATTATATTACAGTAATATGTTATATAGTTATTTTAGCTATGTTTTTTAATTTTTTCTTTTGAATGAGCAATGGATATCTGTATCAGGTTTCAGCTGTAACTGAAAATGTTGTTTCACAAGAATCAGGAACAAATGCTACTGACTTTGATGATGATGATGGTGGTGGTTTGGTAAGTCAATATTCCAACATATAAAACGCATTCTCATTTCCATTTATGCTAGACCTTTATTTATCTTGTTCTGCTAGAAAATTCCCATTCATTGCACTACATGATGGCTCATTTTAAAAATATGTGGGGGAGAAAGAATGTCAGTGAAATGACACTGTCTAGCACAACTTAAATTCCCATGAACAACACCATTACACGTCCCCTAAAAACATTATTAAACAAATGGGCATTTCTGAATGAAACTATCCAGACACGTAGTCCCCCGTCTTCCATCTCCCATCCTCTCTACCATACACTGATCATCACTTCTACCAGTCCCCCTTCCAGTTTGGATAGGCTCAAGACATGTTCTCTTAAAAAAATAAATTTAATTGTTTCTTTAACCAATTTGTTTCAATAATATGAGCTTCTGTTCAAAGGTTGCAAGCTTCCCTTTTGGAGCTTACATGATTTAAGAAAACATGTTGGAATTTCTTGCTTTGTTTGCTTGGCAGTCTATGAATGCACGTTCAAGGGCTATATTGATGCAGAAACTGGATCGAACTGGAACTGCCTCAAGGTTAGCATATTGTACACAGATCTCTCCTTGTTGGAAGTTGTTCTGCAGCTGATGAATTTTCATTTTTCTGTAGTATTGTGGAATCCCTTGGTGTGCCTGCTCTTAATGGAGTGACTCCAAATCAACCTCTTATACCCTTGCCCAGAAATGGGCAGGCTACTGTACCTGCAGCTTATCCAGTTCTGCTTGCTACCACCATTCCTGAGCCTATAGGGGAGCCAAGTGAATTTATTTTGTTAAAGAACATGTTTCATCCAAGTACTGAGGTTTGTAGCATGACTTATAGTCTGATATTTTAATTTTGCTGTGCTTATATTTTTTAATGTTTACAGACCGATCCTGATTTTGACTTGGATATTAAAGAAGATGTCCAAGAGGAATGTGCCAAGTTTGGTCCCTTGAAGCATATTTATGTGGACAAGTAAGCATTAGTATTTTCTTTTACAATTGTTTTAGTAGTGAATCTATAAATTTATATGATCTAAGAATATATCATTTGATTGATTTAACAACTTCTTAGTTGTTCTGTATGTTTTGAGACCTTCTCAATTTTATCTGATGATGATACTTAGTGATTTTGTCTGCTTTGGGTGGCTGCATATTTTCTTACTCGTTGTTTTCTCTAGACATGCAGTTGGGTAGTTCATTTCATAGGAAATATTTTGATTGTTCTCTACGTATTGCAGTTTTACCTACGTTATGCATGAGATATTTTATAAAATTTCATCTTGCGTAGTTTTCAAATTCTTCATTCAAGCATGTCAATGTCGCAAGGTGTGAAGTGCTGAATTTGTTTAAATTTGAAAATTTGTGTTGTATATAAGAATTGTAGCAGTGACTATCAAATGATGTTATTCAATTCCATTCTTGGGCGAGTTTAGAAAAGGAATCAGGTAATTTAAAAGCTGTATTGATACGTTGTGCCAATTAGCTTCATGGAACTTGGGGTTTTTTTTAATGTTTATGTTTCTTTTCATGGAACGAGGAGATATTTCCCAAAAGTGATGTTGAATGGTTTAGGGTGCAGGTTTCTTATTGTGAGTAGGATTATATAATAAATTTAGATCACATGATAGGAATTATAATTAAATTAGATCACATGATAGGAATTATAATTCACTGATTAAAAATCACTAAATATACAAAAAAATATCTTTTTTTAGGTGCAAGCCATAAAAGATGAGGAATAGTTCCAAAATGATAATGCAATAATGAATTAATTTTGAAGAAACTATTGAGAAAATCAAATAATGGAAAATCAACAAGCAATTGAATGTTTTCATCGAAATAAAACTCTAGTTATACCAAATTTGAACAACATTAATAACTCTAACAAGCCAATAAGATCATATCTAGAAGGAATTAGGCAATTGAAAGAGTTCACCAAAGAGAAGGAAATATAGTCCTTACATCGACACTAGCAGATGAATTCTCCTTGAATTTGGCAGGCAAACTTCTATTTCACTCAAAGAATCACATATTCAATATACACACAAGATAAAACTGGAATATGCATTTTTATTGAATCAAAAGTTAACTATTACATGCCTCATGTGTAAACTTCTAGTTCCTAGTTGGCTACTTCTCATGGGCTCAATTTAAAATATTGAGATCAATCCTTTATGTAGTTGAAGAAATACCAAAGAAATTGCATACCAACGCCAAGGGAAGAGCTCTAAAGAAACTTCATTCAAAAGTTATAGAAATGGACACAAATCCTTAAGAGTCAAATACAAAAGCCACAGGAATCAGTACCGAACATGAGAACCACTTAGCTACATAAATCCCATAAACGAGTAATAAAATATTCAACAAGTGATGTAATTGGAATAAAAAAGTAGAACCATAGAAATGATTGAATAAGAATTGAACCTCAATTGTATTTATTGAACCTATCAAACCAATTATTTAAACTCAACCAAATAAGAAATCACCTAGATCAAGAAACATCATAAGATAGGAGAATACATCTTTGACTCATCAAACATCATAAGCGAGCATGTCTCAAATTATTTGAAATTACAAAATAAAAGAATTGTTAAATAATGAACCTTAATATGACTTTGCTCATATGATTTATTTACTCAACAATCTTGGCGAGTGTAAGTACATTGATCTCCAATAAATTTGCTTGACTTAGACAAATTGGGCTCCGAAAAATTTTCCATTTGGTATTCATAACCCCACGTAGTGGGATAAAGGCTTGATGTTGTTGTTGTTGTTGTTGTTGTATGAAGTAATTCGGAAGTCTATCATGCCAATGCATAAGATATTTCTAGAATCTACCATCAAAAGGGTGTAAAATTTTTTGGCGGAGGATTACATGTTGATTCACATGAGGAGATGGAGAGAGAGAATCGAAAGAAATAGCAATTTGTTGACTATAAAAGTTTAAATCAAACACATTAAAAATTGGATTTGCCATAATTTAATGGAATTTTTAATTTGTAAGCATTTGTTCAAAACTTTCAATGCGTTGCAAAATTTTTAGCGGCACTGTATTTCTCGTATTTAATTTGTTGAAGCTTCCTGGGAGAAGCTTTTATGAATTTAAACGAACAAACTTTTTCTTCATGTTTAAACTTCTTGTGCTTACATTTACAGAAATATTATAATTGTCTTATTCAATACCCAATTTTGTACGCATATACTCATGCAATTCTTGCATAGGTTTTGTGAATGATCGTGCAAATGCATTATGCCTAGTTCTATATGTAGCTCTATAAGATCAATCAGCTTTATAGGTTAAAATCCTATGCAACCTTAAATGGACTCATGCCAGTAGATTTATTGACAGCTGAACTATATGTACATTCAGCCGTAGAACATATTAAATCTCACCCAGCTGCATAATCTTTTGTCTTAAAAACTATCGTATCAGCTTAATTTTTATTAAGTATAATTTATTTATCAGTTTGTGGGTTATAAACAATTGAAAATTTAGTTTTCTTTAGGGATAATTAAGTGAACAAGTGCATTCAACGAACAGTTTGGTACTGATTCATACAAGTTTTCTTTATATTCGTTTGTTTATATTATTGAACAATTTTGAACTAAATTTTAAAAGTTTGTCATGTAAATGAATGAACTTGAACATTGACTTGCTTGTTCATTTATGTTTAAAAACATGCTCCTTTGTTATTTAACAGGTAACTTGCTGAGAATTCGATAAAATGATCATTCATTAATGATTTAGTTGCTTATTTGATAATTTATTCCATGTTCTATTTTTATTTTTATATATCTTGTACTTTAAAATTATGTATTTCATTAGAGGTATAGGTATGATGAAATTATTAAATAAATAGCTAGATATATGGATTCAAATATTTTCTTTTTGTTATTCAAGCTCCACTAAATAGCTTAAATAATGCCGAATGAATCATGCCAATTTTGATCAAAATCTATATAATCCAATTTTGTGTAATAATCAAACCATATGCTTAAATCATCGACATCAAATATACAATTAGTTGGGCTTAATTAAAGTTTGATTACCACTTAAACTTTATAAGAAAATTAATGAGCAGGCTTGAACAAGATATTGAAATTTGTCATGTTCAAGCCTAACTCAATCTCAATAAGAAAGTAAATGAGCGAGCTTGAATGAGGTAATACTGGAATCTACTTGGTTCATTTAGCTCTACCTTTGTTTTTGTTTTTTTTTTCCCAAAGAGCTTAAAAAAGAACTCATGAGTTTTATGTCTTGATCAGAAAACCATTGTTTTAGGTAAGCTACACAATTTAACCACCTCATTAAATTATAATTTATTAATATATGGTCCATTTATAACTTTATGACACAATATGGAACAAGCTATTTTTGAAAACCTTCTACCACAGTAGCAAATTAATCATGCTTTTTCAAAGTTTGTGGTAAACCTAACTCAAAATGCATACTATAATTCTCTTGTAACTTATATGGAATTGACAACATTGTATACAAGTTTGTGATATATTTCTTAACTTCAGTTTTCTAACAAATCCTACAATGTGAAACTATATGCGCCACATGACTTTTTAAATTATGCTAAAAATATCCATCTTTAGGCAATGTGGCTGTTAGTTGGGTCAGCTCAGCCCAGATCAGACCTTGTGGGCCATGAAACCCAAAACATAATATCACCCTTTTCCCTTTTAATGAAAGGGTCTTGGCAGCTTTCCATGGACTTTTAATCCTCACTTATAATCCCAAGTTATGGACAATCCAGAACTTTTTAGGATTCCAATAGGCAGCTAGTGTCAAAATATTTGGAATAAATGCTCTTAAATCATGTGTAGTACAAATTTAACTTTTGATAAATGGTGTTATCAAGTCGATTTTGAGAACCTAAACTTGAAATTGCAGATTTCATTTTCAACTTGAGCTAAGTTTGAGTTGAATCAATGTTTGATTGAACTGAGTGTAGTAATTTCTTTTAATAGAAAATTTCTAATCATTAATCATGATTGTTATTTATATAAAATATGAGAGAGAGAGAGGGGGAGGGATTGACCTTTTATAAGGATATTATAATAACCCCTTTTAATTAAAAGTTACACTTCTGCCTTCCAATGGTCCGAAATTTTCAAATAAGGATCAGGTTTAATTGTTTATATTTTCATGTGTCTTTTGCTGAGACAGGTAATTAAAAAGGAAATAACAGCCTAAAAAAATAGTAGCAACAATAGCTTAAAAAAAAAACTGAATCAACATGACAATAGCAGTCAATGAATCAATGAAATCGGCTAATTAAAAAGGAAATAACAGCCGGTTCTGACACACCATCCTCATAGTCTTCTTAAATTAACTGAAATTATAAAGTAAAATAAAATGGCTACCAAATAAGGAAACTAAATATAACTTGCTAGATTTTTTATTTTTTTGATGCTTTCGATTAGTTAAACACACAAATCTTCATAAAAAAGTAATTTTTTTCTTTTCATATCATGTTTTCTCAGCAGACGCTTCCATTTTATTCCATGAGGCAAGTTTTCCATTTATGAAATGGTAAAATGATATTACGGTACTTTTAGAAGACACTAGGCTTTTCACATGTGATAGCGCTAATATCCATTTGATTAATATGATTGCTGACTACATTATGCAAAGGAAGATTGCTATATTCTCTTGTGGACCATTCTCGTGGTTAACATTTTGTTGATTCTTCTTTACACTAATATAAAATTAACTTTGCCTGGTATTTTTTTTTGTAAATTATCTCACATTTAAATGTATTTCTAGGTATTGCAACAATGGCAGTGTATATTTGCGATTTGAAACGCAGGCTGCTGCAGCTAGTTGCCAGCAGGCAATGCACATGAGATGGTTTGCTGGGAGATCAATATCTGCCACATTTATGGTATATTTTCTTGGACCTGTTTTTTTATAAACATTTTAAAATAAACATATTCAGCATATCTATAATACTTTGGATAATGCTTAGTGATTATGTTGTGAAAATATCAATATTCATGGAAATTGCTTTTGACTAAAGGCTTATGCTACCATAAGCTGCTATTGAATTTACTATACCTGATTTCAATAGCATTATCCAAAAGCAATTATGTTGTGAAAATATCAATATTCATGGAAGTTGCTTTTGACTAAAGGCTTATGCTACCATAAGCTGCTATTGAATTTATTATACCTGATTTCACTTGCCGTTTATTTAGTGCACAAGTAACACTAAAGTTTCGTTTGGGACAGCTTTCTTGCTGCTTCTTAAAGTCATTTTTTAGTTCAAAATTTTTAATTTTTATACTAAAAAACTATAAGAAGCAATAAGAAAGTCATCCCAAACGAAGTCTAACTATGGTACTGCTTTTCTTGGCTGTAGCTATTAATCTATGCTTTTTGATGCTTTGCTGAATTATAACAACCCATGCTTCTGATGTTTTCCAACGTGCCTTCTGCAGAGACCCCAAGATTATGAGGCTAAATTCAAGAGTTCACTGTAAGCATAAGATTGGGCAACTGTGTTCTATTCATGTTTTTATGTTTTTTTTCCTCTCGAACTTGGAGCTTACTGGTTGTTATACCCTCAGGAGAATTAGGTGTGAGTTTTGTTTCTAGGATACTATAACTTTTGTAGTTCAAGAATTCTTCATATTGTTGGTGGAACATCTTTGTAAAACATGAATGATTATTATTTTGACCAAATTAAGTGTTATGGCAAAAAAGTTTTTTATTTGTCTATTCATATGTAGTGATTTGGATCTTTAATTAACATCATTAAAGAAATTCGGCTTGCATGATTTCAAAAATACCTGAGATTATGTGATTGATATTAGCTAAACAATTTTTATTAAGTTGTTTTGACAAGAAAATTGTGAATTTCAGTATATAGAGCTTCTGAAATGGCTTGGAATTGGAAGCATGGGCTGAAGATATTGGGTATTTGACCTTTTTCTCTTATTAAGATATTGATGCTATCATTTAAATGCTTCATCAAATATCTCCATTCTCTTTCAATATATAGAGCTTTTGAAATAGCTTGGAATTAGAGATGTGAATTGAGTATTTGGTCATTAGTGATGGCTTGGATACATCAATCAGACTGATCAAATATGTTCTAATAACAAGTCTTGTAATAGTTTAGAAATATATGCTTCAGGTGTTTGGCAAGATTAATAGTGATTTTATTTATAATTACCATTTTTTTGTTACTTACTAATAAACGGTTAAAAAAATTAAAATTCTGGAAATTGTTGAAATATCAAATATGATCAACTTATTTTTTTTTCGTTATAAATGAAAAGCGTTTATTATTGGCGGCGGTTAGCATTAGGAGGTGGCTAGTGGTGGGCGATGGCTGGCAGTTGTGGAAGGTTGCCAGTGATGAGTAGTGGCGAATAGCTGATGCCCAAAAAATGCAATAAAAAGCCATCCCATGCGAAGCCTTAATCAATCTCACTAAATTAGTTAGAAAAATAGGGTGAGGCCTTCAAATGAGCATCAGCACGTGTGCATTTTATGGATAACATTTGAAAAAAATAAATTAAATAAAAATTTAAGTTATTTCAATCAAAATTCATTGTTGAGATTCGAAAATAATGCATTAAAAAACATTTATAATACAAATGAGAATGTAATATTCATTATGGGTGTGTGCGCGTCCATGCATATTTATATACATCAATTATACATCTAAATTTTAATATGAGAAAATTTCTCCTTTGTTAAAATATGAATATAGAATTTTATTTCTTCTAGCAATTCTTAAGCACAGAGAAATTTGCTAAGCTCAGTAGGCTAGCATAGGCTCAAAAAGTCACTCAGCCCAATTGACTTGCTCTAGCAATTATAGGAGATTTTGAATTCTTAAAATACAAAATAATTAAATTTACCAACCTTCAACCATCATGAATTTCAAACTCCACAAATCTCTCTAAACTTACCCATTTTGTTTTTCACACAAACTCATCAGACAGACATGGCTTCAGCAGTACTTGAATCAGTCTGAAGAAGCTCATGGCTTGGGCTCAAGAAGTCCACAGACTAAACTGATGGCTGCAAAAAAAAAAAAAAGGTTTAATTATTCCGTGGATGCCGAACATCATTTAGAGACCAATCAGAATGCACCACATCACCCCTTGCTCGATACCATAGCTCAATACTACTGAAGTGATGCATTCTGATTGATCTCCGAACAACGTTCTATATCCAATCTCCGCACAGAATAATTTCTCCCACAAAAGGAACTTCCTCAGAATTTTGAATTATTTCTTTTCATCCAACTGTTGATGAAAATTAAATAAAAAAAGTTCACATAATCACATTGCTCCTTGCTTCAGTATCATATTCTAAACAGAAATCCAATAGCACAGGCAAAGTATTAAACCATAAAGTCTGCATGATTATAATACAATCCCAATAGTCTGCATTAAACTAACAATTCTAAGTGAACATCCTCATCAAAACAAATCTTACATAACTGCAACAGAAACAAGCATCCAAAACAACTGCAAAAGGAAATCATTAACCATTTGCTAGCAATCTTTAAGAATTACAAGCAGAACATACATATAGTCCTCCTCCATGAAAAACACTATATACTGGAATCTTCTAGATACTCTGCAACTGGGAGAAAGAAATCCGAATGGTGTTCCCATCAATGTTGCAAGCATGCTTGCAAACAAGGGCCTCGGTGGCTTGCTCCTCATCTTCAAACAGGATTAAGGCTTGCTTCTTACCATTCACCTCAAATATTTTGGTGCTCACAATGGTTCCATGTTCTTCCAGATGAGAGATGAGCTCATCTTCAGTGATATCTTGTGGAAGAGTGGATATGTGAATCATTTTAGTTGGGGCACAGCAGTAGCGGTAGTTCTTCACTGCGTTGCGGTTGAAGCGGTTAAGGCTTGATCCACCATAATCATGGGCATCCTGGGCAGGGGTAATGTTTGAGTACTTGGAGTAATTCACCTCAAGCTTTTTACCAAATAACATTGCGCCCTACAAAATATAAAAGAAGAATTCATAAGAAAATATGGCTTTCACAGTTTAGAAACGAAAGTAATTGCTGAATATCAATATTCATGGATGTTACTCCCACAAGTGGAAAGCAAATCTCACATTCATGTTTCAATCAGTAAGCTTGTCACATGAAAATTCTGATTGCATTTTAGTTATAACTACAAAATTTTGAACGTCTAGGAAATGCATGTGGTTCAAATAATACAGCTGGAAATGTGTTGCAATGCCGGTGAACCGGTCCAACAGGGACCGGTTCACTGTTATAGCCGGCAGTCTAAGCTTGGGCGGAATCATGAGGGGGACGGAAGCCCTAGTGGGGCCCGTTGCTTGATTAAATAGTGTTTAAGAGGGAAAATTTGAATGGAGGGCTGTTTTAGGAATTTTGTAAGCTTCCTTTGGCTTTAATTTGTCTTGTGGAGACTAGGGTTTGGGTATCGTGAGATTTTTTGAATTTTGAGATCTAGGGTTTGTTTTGTGTGGGTGAGATTTTTTGAATATTGAGATCTAGGGTTTGTTTTGTGTGGGCTTTAGGTTTTGCTAGAGATTTGGAGAGTATTTCCTCCTCTCGAATTGAAGAAATTTATATCTTGCTTTGTTTTTCTTGTTCGTGAATTGAATCAAAGTATTTCCCTTGTGTTTTTTCTCCAATCTACTAAATTTCCTGCATGATTTTTGCTGATTTCTTCTTAAAATCAGTCCTATTTCTTGCTGTTTTTGTCAAATCTTGCTAGATTTGCTTGTGAACTCAAAGTATTACCCTTAGGGTTACTTGCGTGCGAACGCAAGTACTTCCTATCAAAATGCAAATGTGAGCATATCCGTTCAGTTCTAAGTATGATCTGAGATCAAGCCAATCCAACCAAGGTTGAGATTGGTTAAGAGCGAATCTCGATCCAAGCCAAGTCTAACTATAGACTGGCTCATTATGACCTTTACTAATTTGTTTGATTTCTTAATTTGGATCCAAGCTCGATCCTAGCCTAAAACCAATCTTACTTTTGATCGTCTAATAAATATGCTTGTCCAACATGTCTGCATGCGGCCATACAATACATAGATATATGCATATACGGATGCTTATATGCCTGCATACAAACATAAATACATGAATTCACATACAAATACATACATTTTTTCAATCTAATCTTGAGCTAGTCTATCTGATTGGGCTCAATTCAATGCAAATTCATTCTGGCCAAGCCTGGCTTATTAGCCAAATCGTTTACTTCAATCTCAATTAATTTCGGCCAAAAATCAATCATATTTTGAAATGGTTTAGGATAAAAATCAAATAACCAGCCCTAGATAGGGTGCAAAGGAGTAGGTTGCAAAACAAAAAAATAATGAGCAACATGGCCATTACTGGTGCCAAATAAACAGGATGCAGGAAAAAGGACTGCATAGTTCTAGAAAGGTAAAATGCACAGCGATAGACCATCAAGCAATAACCAATAATAAATCATGCATGCTAAGTTTTGTGTCATTCTAATCTTCCCAGAAGTTTTCTTCACACAACTTCCAACTCGTAAGTCCAATAGGTATCAGTAATAAAAAGAAAGCAAAAAACTGATCACGAGAGATTAAACCAACCTTCAGAAAGTGCACGGCTAGTTCAGCTTGAAAACCATCCCCCATCTCAACGAGAGCGTGATCTGGTTTGTTGTGAAGTAATTTGATTCTTACAATGTTACCATACATGGAAAACAAGTTGAAAAGTTTGTCCTCATCGACTTTCTACAATCAAGGACAAAATTTTATTAAATATTAAGATCATAAGTGACAACACAAGGGACTGGAAGTCCTAATAAGTAGGGGAGAACTTACATCAGTATTGAGGTTAGAGACAAGTATGGTGCACCTGTCATTACTACCACTTATACCGGGAGGCAGACCACTACCAAAAGCAGCTGCAACTGCCGCAGCATTGTTCATCTGATAAAACATAAAATTACCATATGCACAAACTCCTAATGATGTCATTGAAGAGATTCAACAAAATGCAAATAGTATCAAGTAAACAACATCATATAAGAACAATAAATGATGAATTATCTAAAGCAAACAGGCATGGACGGAGGCTCAGAAATGATCATGAAGAAGATTTATTGCAATAACATAGAAGACCAAATCTGTAAAAAAAGAAACTTGGGCGTGCAAAATCCACCTGAGCCATTGTAACTGGAACAAACAAAAGAGAAACAAACAGATTAGAAGTTGAACACACATTTCAGGAGTAAGAAGAAACAGCAATACATGATTACCCGCTCTGCCTCCAGATGGATGAAGTGCGTAAAGGCCTCCAGCATCACCATACCCAAGCTGTCATTAATGGTATAAACAAATAAGTTCTGGGGCATGCCACAGTTATCCATTAAGTAAATAAAATATACGCAAAATCAAAGCTGTGCTGGCAACCAAATTGAATCTCTAAAAAATAAATTAAAATATGAAAGATGAACATATAGATGACATACTTGTGATGATCTACCCCGTTGTTCAGAAGGTAGTGATGGATTTGTGAAATCTCTGAACACAAACATCGAGAATATTCAGCAGACAATATAAAGGCAAATCAGAAAAAAAGTAAGATGATGGTGAATGCTCACAATCGGAAAAAAGGGAAGTTAAGATAGCAGATACGATAGTTCTCAAGAATAACTCTAAAACTCTGCACCGTAAACCTATTAGACTATATGCAAAGTTCTCTCGCCCTCCAATTTTGGTATTAGAGCAAAAAAATGTATTAGGCTGTAAAATCAATTTCAGAATAGCTTTCATGTATTAGGCTGCAACTTTAGAGTTCCACCTAGCCACTCAAATCCCATAGATTTCTTCTACAGGAACTTGTAGATCCAGCTTCTTCGCTAATTATGCCACTCTCATAAAGCAAGCCTATCACTTTTCTACATTAACCATATACAATGCAACCAAAATTGAAGTACGTCTTGTATTAGATAATCCTGCTTGTGAACATTAGATTATCTAGAAATGCAAGGACGAATTTTAACGTGGTTCTGTAGTATGTTTTTAGTCTTACAAGTCTATTTAAGCTCAACGCAAAATATTTCCTCTCAGCCAGGCAAATCCATCATTATGTGATTTGTCTCTATAATTATGTAAAAAATATTCAGTTCATCTCTTTTACAGCCATAATTACACTAGTTTTATTTTCTCATCCATCCTAAATCATTCTCACTGCACTAAATTTTCAAACTTACATTCCAAACATCAGTTCCAGTTATTTCTATCACCACCACTATAAAAATCCTTTTACAACTACATCGTATGTCATCTTGGAAGAGAGGAATGCGAGCCTATGGAAGATAGACCCAAGCACTTTTCACACTTATCAAGAAGATTTTATGGAAAAACCGGTTTCACGCCAAGAACTTCATAAGGAGCATTACGCGCAGATAGATAAGTAGAACTGGAATGAGCCTTGCTACAGGATGGTCCTTGATTTTGCAATTTTATGTGAGACAATAGATTTGTCATTGGGAATGTTGAGCTCCCCCAAAGCTTACAGGGCTGTCAACTTCTCAGTTTTTGGAGTTATTTCACTTTATAATGGAGAAATCACCTAGTTTTCATGAGTTTTTGAGTTCTTTAAGCTGGACTCTAGTTAGAAAATTTTGTTCGTATTCCCCTCTTATTTATTATTCTATAGTAAGCGTCTAGGCCTCCATTTCATAAATAATAATAATAATAATGATGCCAGGGCTACAGTTCAGATTAAGAATTTCCTCATGTCAGTACTTTTAGGATTTTTCACACAAAAATAGACATCTACATCACTTTCGAAGCTTCCGGAGCTATTTTACTTTATAATGGAGAAGTTACCAAGTTTTCACGAGTCTTTGACTTCTTTAAGCCAAACTCTACTTAGCAACTTTTGCAAGTATCCCCTTTTTATTTATTACTCTATATCATGCGCCTAAGCCTCCATTTCATTAATAAAAAATTAATAAGGCCAGCTGCTACGGCTAAGATTAGCATTTTCCCATATCAGTTTTTTGAGGGCTTTTCACACAAAAATAACTATGCATTATTACAGAACATGTTATGCTTAATCCGAAAAATACCATTAGCATACCTTGATCTATCATTGTTATAATTAACCTGCAGCTCATTAAGGCTGAAAAGCAAAAAGAGAATTCAAATTCGTCAGACTAACAACAATAAAACAAGGAATATAGTCAAAAATCTGAAGGAAGCATACTTGGAATACTGTATATCTAATTGACAGCAGCCATCATATATATTGCGTCCCTACAAAGTAGCATTCATAGAATCTAGAATCAGCTTTGTCACCAGAAAACTGAGATCACTAAGTAATTTGACAGAAAAAAGAAAGAAGCACATACTTGCAGAGTGTTTCTTGCCAGAACAGCGCATTGGAGTGATTGATACTGAATGAGAGCTTGAAATCCTACATAAATAAGCAAGGAAAAACAATAGAAACCTAGTAAGTATTTTTTGTATAGTATGACACTGACTCTCCGGAAAAAAAGAAGTACAATGAACATGAAAACGTACGAAGATATATTGATTGGAAATTACACAAAATTTACACCTTACAAGGTCAGTAATAAGAACGTGCAAGTAAACAGATATATGATCTATTTTAATCCATTTAGGAGTTCCTATTGAAGCCGATCGTTGTTAAAAATCAATTGAGATAATAGATAAGACTTGAAGAAGCTGACCAGCTGACTTCTGAAATGTGACGATCTTCTCCACAAAACCATGAGGAGAAAAAACTTGATGCAGAACTTCCACTGTTATAGGGTAGAGCATGTGATGAATTGTAGCTAACAGGATTCGATTGGGATCCAAATCCTGATTGCCAGACAGCAGACCATAATAGAGACAGAAGAGGAAAAAAATAAATAGAAGGAAAAGAGAAGACTGATAAGAATGAGAATAGCTAGAGAAGAGATGTTAAAATCTTCATTTAGGCATGGAAGAATGACTAGAGAAATAAAACTAAAGAGAAATAAGAGGTACAGTCTAAGATTTATTAACTATAATTAGTTATGACCTAAAAGAGCTACACACTACAAAATCCGTATTCACAATCCGTTTGATTAATGTTCAACCCTACCCTGTGCTAAAGTTCATAGTACTAAATGTGTTATCCTCAAATGAAAGAGACGGCAAAATACTTTAAATTTAAAATGAAACATAAACAAGAAGAGATCCAGAAATACATGTGCTTCCAGTTTTCTATTTTAGGAAAGTAAAAAAAGCTGAAGAGCTTAAGAAAAATCAGTGGAGGAAAGAATGCACGCCCCCAAATTAGCAGTTCATAGTACTAAATATGATCATAAATCATGCACCAATATTATCTAAGAAACGATTTAGCATTTATGTTTCTCAAGCCATTTCCCATAAAACCATAATTGAGATAACCCTGCCTAGTTGACTTGATTAATGCTTGACTATACCCTACGCTGAAGTCATAGCACTAAATAAGGTGGTCTTTTCAAATGAAAGAGTCAGCAAAGCACTTTAAATTCAAAACGAAACAAACAACAAGAGATTCAGAAATATATGTGTTTCCTATTTTCTAATTTAGGAAAGAAAAAAGCTGAGGAGCTGAAGAAAATTCAGTGGAGGAAGGAATACTCACTCCCAACCCGACAACCCAACACATATATTTTCCTAATCTTAAATGAAAGAAGCAGCAAAACACTTTTAAATTCAAAACGAAATATTAACAAGAGATTCAGAAATACATGTGCTTCCAATTTTCAATTTTAGAAAAGACAAACTGAAGAGCCAAAGAAAAAGAAGTGGATGGACGAATACTTCCACCAACCCGATAACCTGACACAAATTTTCCTATACACACACACACTTCCACAGCCCCACTCGCTCAATTTCTCCTGTTTTGCTTTGCTTTTTATCCCATCCTTCATAAACCCAAAACTCTCCCACTCACCTTCACAGCCACTTTCACAATTTAACATTTATCTATTCTAAAATTCAAAAGTCTAAGAAAAAAAATTAAATAATGGAGGCCTCTCATTGCACTGTAGCCCCTACTCTCTATGTTTCTTCGCCTTGAATTAATCAAAATGACATGGATTTGCATAGTTTACTATGTTCACATGTCATGAATTATCTCCCCAGGGTGTTAGTTTTATAAATATAAGCAACATGGTCACGATTTTCTGGAAGCTCCAACAGAATATAGCATGCTCTTGCTAAAATAGAAACAAATGTCAAAGCCATATATAGAAATAAAAGACAATTATTAGAGCTTTAATAAAGCATACAACAAAAGTTCTAGCACGTAAATTGTGGTGCCACAACCCGGTAGAAAGCAAGAAAACATGAAAATTTCAGTGTAATTCTTCCAGAGGATGATCTAAAAGCAAAAGAAACGTTAAAACAGTACTCTCAAAAAGGAAAAAGTCAAGAAACATAATTAAAAGAATAGAAAAAGTGTATGGAAGAACATTTATCAATGAGCAAGGAAAATCTCTTGATAGAATATCATAATAAACCATAAGGGTGTCGATTTACTTAAGTAAGAATTTGTTTTCTTCTATAACGGTTAGGTTGGATGAAATACGATAAAAAAAGAGAGTCCCTAGACACAACTGGAAACAAAAGGAGAAAAAAGGGCATTTGCATAGTGCAGTAACAAGCATGATTATGAGCCTTCTATTTTACAAAGTTCAGCTCATCAACAAATTATTTGATTGGTTCTGTCAATCAGTTAGAAAATCTAACTTGATGGTCCAAACAACTCAACAAACTGATGCATATCATAGGACTCGCACACAGACCCCAAAACCCAAGTCAATTAAAAGTTGTATCGGATCTTGACAGAATGAAGTGAGAGCTTGAAGTAGAAAGTGGATGAAAGAGAGCTTGCTGTGGGTTAGTTAGGACTTGTCAATCACATAGAAAATTAATTCCTTGAGAGGGCAATTGACTTTGGCTAAAATCAAATGAAGTCACATGGGGATTGGTAGCTTCACCCTCTAATAAAGTTTTAACACTTATGCACTTCCAATGTAACCAACAAAACAGCTTCAAAAGTGTCTACGCAGGTTGCCACACTTTTTTTTCCTTAAAAGCAACTTTCTCAATTGCAACTTCCTTTCAGTTTTGAACAATACATTGCAACCAGAGACACACAAATAATAAAAAACATAGACACATTTTTTAAGGTTTACATAGGTGGCGTAGAAGTTCAAAAACATGTTAGGTACAAATCGAAGATAATGCAATATTCATAAGCAACTTCCACACATTGCAATCTAAACTAAAAAATAAAGAGCATTTTTTTTATAACTTGGAAGGCATAAAAGGCTTTAACAAATACTCCGTGCAAACCTGGTCTTTTCGTCCTTGTGAACCTTGATCAACAGTTGTTAGTTCCTGATGAGAAGAAAACTGCATATAAACATTTCTGCCCCTGAAAACACAAACTGAGACAAGTTAACAACAATTAAATGTGGCACTGACACCTTAGTAGGACTATGTCCACAGAAGTAACGTCAGCAATAATATGGTTAACAGTCCAGTCATTAAAGTAAGTAAATTATTGAATCAAAGACGAATCAGCAACCATATTTGAATATTTAAGTTAATCTTACTAATGTTTTTTTTCCATTTATCCTGTTAGGGGCAGCATGCGCAAACTCAAGATCATGCGCATCTTTTCTATCTTTTTTTCTTTTTTTTTTTCTACATAACTTCAAGTCATGAAACCTCTAGCATACTGATGTAGAACTAGATATGCAGGTGCATTGAATCGGAAATTCCTCGTACTTTAACAAAGCTTAACAAATTATTAATTCACCATGAACTTAAGCAATGACTTCATCATGCAAGAGGTTAATCAAGTTTAAGCAATCAATCACAAGCTAATAGGAGGACCAAAAGATAATCAAATAAATTAAGATCATGCTCGCACGATGTTTCATAAGCAATCCCCAAATTAACAAATAGATAAGTCACAACAAAGACCCACTCAAACGACACTCTTGGTATGGGCTACGCGGATAAATTTTCGCAATAAAACAATGCCACGATTAAGAAGTGATCAAAAGGTGTGGGGGAGGGGGGGGAGTTTACCCGCAGAGACGAAGATACTAAGCCACGACAAAGTCATTTGGCTGTCTCGGTTGAAAGGACAACGCTGTGAATCCCTTTCACATGCTTTGATAGCATTATGTCTTCCCTCATAATTTGGACATCAATTGTGTGGTTGCCAAAATCAAGAGCAGCGGGAATTAGACTTGGAACATGGCTGAATCTGTCTATTACCAACAGGTAGCTGACCTTGGGATGGCTTGGGAGAGAAATATCAAGCAATTGATAGTAGGAAAGTAGCATAAATCATCATTAGATGGCACCCAAAACAGCGGGACAGCAAATAGCATAAACCTGGGTCCAAGATTTATATCTAGAAGATTTGTATAATTATGGTAAGGCTCAATGAGCGGAGGGAGTTGGCCAAATCAATTGATTGGGGCTGGTTTGGGGCTTTAATTGGGTTGCCAATTTCAGCATATTGGCTAAGGAAATATGATTTAATTCAAATTTTCAATATATAATCAGATTTGCGGATGGAGATATCCTTCCAAACATAACCTAATAATTTAGGAAAGGAATTCAAAGCTTTTAGGAGAATTCAAATTTGAATTCAGGTTTTCAAAATTAAGCTAGACTAATTTAGGAAGGAGAATTAATGAGTATTATTTAGTTAAATTTCAGATTTATGGAAGGGGGTTCCTTTCCAAAAATGATCCAACAATTTTGGAAAGGAATTCAAGGCGCAAGGAGAATTCAAAACAAAACTAAGCTAGGCTAATTTAGGAAGGAGAATTAATGATGATTCGTCATTTAAATTTCATATTTCCAAAAACATGTTAGGTACACATCGAAGATGATGCAATAACTCACTCCTATTAGGTTATGATATTTTGTTATATAAAATCTCTGATGAAATGGATGAGTCACGGGGAGGATTTTGTGTACAGCGAATGTGGAGAAACTTCATTTATGTTTGTGTACAATGAAATAGACGTTTATAGTACTTTTTTAAACATGTATTAAAATATTGATTATATGCTAGATGTGTTGATTCAAGTTTTATGTATGCATATATACAATTTTATGTTTGAGGAAAGTTTATGATTTAGTGGCTCTTTTATGAAATCAGAAGACTTGAAAAAAAAAATGTTTGTAATCATTTTGAAAGTTCTTTGGAATATATAGCAGGATCAAACCCACCGCTAGGCCGAGTCATAACACCCCTATTATCAAGAAGCAAAATGAAATCAGGGTGCTAACCTTAAGTATTTGAACATTTAGAAAATCTGTTTGCATTCATTTTTGTAGTTGTAGCCTTGAAGACAAATAGGATGAGAAGTTGATTATGGTAACCATCTTCAATGGACTAACTCAAGGGAGCACAATTCAATGAATGCATCCTTAAGAGAATTTCTTTATTTATTTTTGTCATCGCTGCAGGAGAAGCTCATATAATATTTGCATACTAAGCCTGCTACATTTGGTCTATAAAGTTAAAAGCTGCAGCTATCCAATAAAGGAATATGCTTCTTGACAGTTTGCAACGTTACAGTAGATATTCTAAAGTATTGATAGAAAAAGAAATGCTTGATGATGAGAATGCATGTAAAGAAGGGAAGAATTTATCTTCATATATGCCATATGGGGCACTAATCAAACATGAAAATGATAGAAATCTGCATACCACTTACTGCCAAAAAGAATTGCCTCCAAACTAACATTGTTTAAACCGCATAAGGGATCAAAACAAACATTCCCAAGAATTATCCCAAAGATAAGCAAATGAGTGGTATCACAGGAGCAGCAATTCGCAACAGAAAGAAAATATAAAAGACATTGGGAACATATATAAGGATATATGGAAGGCCTCTGAGCTAATAAGAAAACCCATCTAGTAAATGCAATGCTATAAATACTCAACCTCAACAAAAAGATAAGAACCACTTTACCTGACACTGGGTTGGACATTTGAGTAGTATTGAAGTGCGCTAGCAGCAGAAGATATATCATACATTTGGAGAAGCGCCTGCAGTGGTGGCGTGCCAACCAACTCATGAGAAACAACAAAAGCTCTCGCATCTAATATCCCAGAAATAGCAACCAAAGAATTCAGAAGTACATATATAGATGCGCCACATAAAAACCTGGTTTTTGGCGCGTAACATCACAAGCTTAGTAACCACGCCAAACGGTTGCAACAATTGAAGCAGGTCATTCTTCGCACGAAAAGTAAACAAAAAAATGGAGAAAAAAAATAAATATTCCTCAAACTTTCATCGATTTAGCTCCCAAATAACCCGAAAGCACTAATGAAATCCACCTCGGAAATCTCTTGCCCGACATTGCGAACGTGAATAACTTTGGAGGGCTCCGTCATCTTCCACTTGCCTCTTCTACGAACCCTGGTAGTAATACTATCTCAGATCCTATTAACCGACAGGGTTCACAATCAGAAATCGACATAAATAACATAAAGGCTTAGGCGGAGCGCGAGCTGCAACCGAGAAGCTAACCTGAAAAGGAGATTCCCGGAGAGAGAGCTACGGATCCTTTCAAGCGAGCGAAGTGGATTTTGATCTGTGGGCGGGTCCTCGACACCTCGAGCGTCGCAGCCGACGGCGTGGTGCCCTAATCGGCCTGAATGAAAGTCTTTATCTGAGTATGTGCCCTGAATTTTATTAATATTTTTATTATGCTTAATATGATTAATGAGTAACAGATCGTGGCTTAATGGGACTAACAGAATATTAGCTGCTACCAAATGCACCCTATATATTATTTTTAATGAAAATAATATCAATAGCTATATTATCATTTTTGAATTTAAGGTTTTATTTGAAATAATTTTATCATTATTTTTTAAAATAATTTTAGTATAAAATTTTAATTCAAAAAAAAAAATTAAAACTTAAAAAAAAAATTGTTTCAAATGTAGCATAAATAATACATTTTATTCAATGTTATAAGGTATTTGATAAATAATATATAATAAACATCTACTTTCAGAGCCCTGCATTGGGTACTTATACTCATATCCTCTCATACCCAATGGGTATGTGTGGGTATGGGTACGCCCATGATCTTGTGGATGAGTATGGGTGGGTATTCAACAACTGGGGATAAATTAATTTACATTGACAATTATCATTTATCTTATATTATTGCAATCCTCAATATGTAGTGTGTAGCACTTAACCACGCTATGACCGATAATTTTAGATATGTGACTTGAAAGTTTGTAATCATAGCAAAAGGGCAACAAGCCTCAAGACCATCTGTCTGTGACAGACTGCATTCAAAAAATATGAAAAGTTTGTGGGTATAGGTGGGTACGACATCCCAAAAGTTAACATGGGTGGGCGTGGGTGGGCGAAGCCCGTCCAAATAAAGCATGGGTATCGAACCAGGACCTCAAATAGGGCTTTGTTGACATGGGCTTCTTGAGATGATCATTAACATTCAAAATTTTTGTTGTTTAAAAAAATTAATATTCTCCTACATCCATTTCTCAGATTGTCACACAAATATTCATATTCACAAAAAAAAATCTACTTTTTTTTCGCTTCTGTTAAATTCCCATTAATTTAATCATATCATGAGAAAATATATGAATTTGATAGTTAAAAAAAAGAAAGAAGTGCGTTAGTTTTGTAAATATGTATGCTTTAGATGTTATGTACGTAATTCTTTCATAATATAAATTTTGGCTAATTTCACTGAGGCCCTAAGAAAACAAAAGAAAAATTAATTGATAGAACAAAAACATACAAAGCAAAAAAAAAAAAAGTCTACAAAATTGCAATTATGAGGCTAAACCATATGGCAACGCATAGGTCAAATGATGCTTAGAATGTTTTAAAAATTTGTAACTATATTAGAAGTGATTGATTGATTGATAAACTATATGTTCCTAATATGTTAGAATTAAAGGTACAAAATCACTTTGATTATAAGATTTCCTTATAGGATTAGAAGCTTTAATTATATAAACATGAAATCTATATCTATACTATTATATAAGTGTGGCTTAGGATTTTTCCCAAATGCAATCCTAACCTTCCATTTAATTTATCGAAGATGAATCTCAACCTTTCAATTTTTTTATACATTTAATTAACTTATTTATTAACTTTATTTATTCATTTAAATGCATTACATTTTTTATTTTGTTTACATTAATTACATTTAAGTAAGAGCTAATTGGTGTATTTAATTATATTTATTTTTACATTCAATTAGAGTGAATTGATATATTTATTTTTATTATTTTTAATTAATACATACTCTAGTAATTAATAATATAATTTATTAATTAATATTCATCATATAATTAGAAGATGCCTGAGCAATTAATAATATAATTCATTAATTAATATTCATTCATTAAGAACTATTAAAATGTCAAAATTAAAAAAAAATAATGTATAAATCTTAATTAATTATTTCATTAAATAATCATTACATCTATACTAATCTATATCTATACTAATCTATACTAATATTATAAAAATCACTTGAATTGCCTTCCAAACAAAAATTCGATCATTCATCTTAATTTTTCAAATGCAATTCTAACCTTTAAAAATTAAATTCCTGTCTTTTAATATAAATTTAAGTTTTAATTAATGAATAAGTTTTGATAATAGATTTTTAATTATTATTTTTAGTTATGAAGCTATTTATGTTACTATTAACACATCTATTCACACTTCTATACAATTAATTAAACACGACAATTTTAATTTAAGTGTGTTAATTGGGTAAAAGGACTATTAACGCACTCAAAATGATTTCCAATCCTATAAGCTTCTATATTCCTCTTCCCATCCGCTTTGACTTAAGATTTGGCCAGACTTTACACCCAAAAAATTGAGAGATTATTAGGTGCGGAGTGCGGACAAGGAGAACCGTCCGCACAAGCATTGGGTACCTAGCGTTACCCGCACTCGGTACCTAGCGGTACCCGTACTCGGTACCATTGGGTACCGCTAGGTACCCAATACTTGTGCGAACGGTGCGCACTCCGCACCTAATAATTTTTCCAAAAAACTATTCTTATTCCATATTTATATCTATACTATTTATAAATGTCTCTCGCAATTCTTTTTTTTTTTTTGGGACATTTAGGCCATTTAAGGCAAATTCACACACACAACGCATACACATAGACTCGAACTCTGGACCTCTTAGTTGAAAGTCTAAGCTCTCAACCAATACGCCAAGGAGAGTTGTGTGTCTCTCGCAATTCTTCCCAAAAAAATCTCAGTCATTTATATGACAAAATAAATCCTACCTCTTCATCTAACTGATACTCTCCATATTCCACATCCTCTCCACTCATATTCCACTTATATTCTCAATCCCGCAAGCCTTTCGAAGTTCTATCCAATCTTCATTTTAGAACTCTTGTTGCATTGCATATGATTATTGCAGCTTTGGGAGCTCTTGGTGTAGCTTTGATTTGAGCGAACAATGCTAAAAGTCCTCCCTAAAATGACATGAAAATTTTTGCTTGATTTGAAGTGGAAATTTGTGTTTTATCTTCTTATTGTTATGAAAGTACTGGCCATTTGTTTTTGATCTTCTTAATTTTGATTAATTTGATTGTTAGTTGTTTGCAACATTTGTGTTTTTTTAATTGTTAATTCCAAATTTTTTATCAAAATAAATTCAGAATGAGAATCATTTTTTATTTAAAAAATTGTATTAGAAGTGATAACACCCGTTTTCCCATCTTTATAAACACTACCACGCAATGAGGTTGTTTTTGAATGTTAGAAATTTGAGTGAGAGGAGATGAATATTTGAAAGTCTCAATATTATAACGTAATAATGAATACTATTATATTTTTTTACTAATAATTCAAATAAATGCTTTCATATTTATCATTCTAATCAATCATCTCTTACTTCAGTAACCTCCCTTCTGATTTTTTTTTTTTTGCTCTAGAATCTGAAAGCAGATTGGTTGCAAAAATTAATAGAAGTAATTAATAAAATGATTCATTAATTAATATTCATCATGTATATACCATTATAAAACTGATTTTGAAATTCTTCTCATATTGAATTCTTGTTCTTAAATTTATGATGAATGTCAAATCCTAAAATTTAAATGTATCATTATTATATAAAAGTCAAATTAAATCCTATCTTTTCAAAACTCTCCTTTTAAAAACTATCGTAATTAATTTTTTGCTTATTCTTCATGCTATCATTTAACTTCTCAATTTACTATCAATAAAAAATTAACATTGTTGCGTCCTGGAATATTCGCGGCGGTAGAGAAATATATAATTTAATGTCTTAGCATTGTACGAAGATCCAGCACACAAGCAGATAAGTGAGAGGGTGTGGCATTCATAAGAGTCTCCAGAGTTTTTACGTGGAAACCCCTGAAAAGGGGGAAAAACCACGGGGCCTGGCCCAGTTTGAATGAATCCACTAGTATTTGTAGTCGATTACAAATGAGGCACTTCCTTGGGAGAAGGCCTTGGATTGATGTAGCAAAGGTACATCATATAGATTGCATTACATTGTAGGAGTTACTTATACATGTTTGTTTGGTCAGAAGGATCGTAGTCGACAGGAGACCGGGGTCAGAAAGACCGTTGTCTGGTGATGGAGGTCGGAGTGACTATAGTAGGCGACGGAGGTCGGGAGGATCATAATCGGCGGGAGACCGGGGTCTGAAAGACTGTTGTCTGGTGATAGAGATCAGAGTGACTGTAGTAGGCGACGGAGGTCGGGAGGACCGTAGTCGGCAGGAGATTGGGGTCAGAAAGACCGTTGCCTGTTGATGGAGGTCGGACGGACCGTAGTAGGCGACAGAGGTCAGAAGGACCGTAGGCGATAGTTAGACAAGGAGTCAGGTGTTAGACTTATGTCACTTGGAAGATCGGGTGTTGATGGTCTGGCCTTGAGTAGGACGTCAGGTCTGAACGTCGGGCCTTAAGCAGGATGTAGGAACTGAACGTCGGTCCTTAAGCGGGACGTCGAGTCTTCAGCAGGATGTAGGGACTGAACGTCGGGCCTTAAGCAGGACGTCGGGTCTTGAACAGGACGTAGGGATTGAACGTCGGACCTTAAGCAGGACGTCGGGTCTTCAACAGGATGTAGGGATTGAATGTCGGACCTTAAGGCAGTGGTGCAATGAAACTCCGGCGAGGATTCGGTGGTGGTCCGGCGAGGTTCCTGCGGTGGTCCGGCGAGGTTCCTGCGGTGGTCCGGCGGCCGTCGAGGAGGAGCTTCTTCCTTCTCTTCCTTCTCTTCTACTCTTTTCTTCTTGCTTGGACCCCCTCTTGTGAAAAATGAGAGCTCTATTTATAGATTTTTTGGAGTGGCATGGCCCGTAAATAGGCGTGAGATCAGGGGCGAATAGGGAGTGGTCAAATGGACAGCCGATATTGAATCCTACGATCGTGCACCGTTCATTGGACATTTGAAGGCCTTAGTGATGTCAGAATTCTGTGATCTTGGGTTTGTTGGATTCGTCTCGTCGAGCCCTTCGATTCGAGTATAAGCTCGTCAAAATCGAAGTCCGTTTGGTAACTCAAATAGTGGTTTGAACCTTCCAACAGCGCTTCGGATCCATGATTTGGACCCATTTGGGCTCGGATTGGGTCGAACTTGGTATCGTTGGGTTCGTATTTCCGAGACGCTCAGTTCGACTATAAGCTTGCTGAAATCGGAGTTTGGGTGCTCTCTGAATTAATTTTTGAAGTTTTCAACTAGCTTTTGCCTCGAGATTCGTGTCCGATCAAGCTAATTTTTGGAGTACGTATCAAACATAAATATTAAATTATTTAAAATAATTATGTTAATTCATATGTTACATTTGCATGGTTCAATATCAAATTTATTATAAAAAAATTAACTTACTCTTCATCTCCCTAAACTCATCTTGAACAATATACATCTATTATTATAAATATTACTATTATAAAAGTCAATTGAATTTCTTTATAAACAAAATCCTAGTCTTTTATTTTAGTTCTTAAAATAAAATTTTGGCATTTATTTTTATTATCTTATTATGATTAATTAATCTTTAAAAAATAATTAATTGTAATTAGTTTTATTTAAGCAAATAAATAAAAAATATACTATTTGAATCCCAATTACTTCTTAATATTCATTCACATTTATTGAATACCCATTTGTATTCTTCTTTTATTATCTCATACTCTTTTTATTCCATTTTATTATGATCTTAATTATTATTAATTAAATATCCTTTCAAATTTCCCTCTTTGTATCTCTTATATATATATAATTTCTCTTTATATTTCACTCTTCGTATTCCGTATAATTTTTATTCATCTTCATATTCCCCTCTTAATAACTCTTTTTATTCATTGTCATATTGTATATTACAACTCCTGCAACTAATCAAACTCTCAACCTACCTGAAACTTTACACAATCCTTCACAATCTCTCCTATTTCTATGATGTCTGAAAGATGATCTTGATGCAGTGCTCCTAACAACTCCTCCACAATGGCAGTGTTGCGATGATGAGAAGACCATATCAACTTCTTGCAGCTCCTCTGTGGCAGCGGGGAAGTTTTGGATGTCAAAGATGCCTCAAATTTTGTGTGTAGAAATCTCTCTAATTGCAATTATATTTTTATCCATAAAATGAAATCTCTTTGCTTAGTTTTTTTTTTTTTTATCATTTGTTTGATTTTGTAGGAAAAGTTTTGGATGCAGACTTTCAAGCGGGGGATAAATACTGATACGGTATCGCAAAATTAGCTTGATCGGGCACAAATCTCGAGGCAAAAGCTAGTTGGAAACTTCAAAAATTAATTTTGGGAGCACCCGATCACCGATTTCAGCGAGTTTATAGTCAAACTGAACGTCTCGGAAATATGAACCCAACGACACCAAATCCAACTCAATCCGAGTCCAAATGAGTCTGAATCAAGGACCCGAAGCGCTGTTGGAAGGTTCAAACTGCAATTTGAGTTACCAAACGGTCTTTGATTTTAACGAGCTTATACTCGAATCGAGCGGCTCGACGAGACGAATCCAATGAACACAAGATCGCCAAATTCCGACATCATTAAGGCCTTCAAATACGCAACGAACGGTGCACGATCAAAGGGTTCAATATCGGCCGTCCATTCAAACCACTCCCTATTTGCCCATGATCTCACACCTATTTACGAGCCATGCCACTCCAAAAAAACTATAAATAGAGCCATCATTCTTCACAAAGGGGACTGAAGTGAAGAGAGATAAGAAGAAGAGGAGGAGGAGAAGGTAGAAGCTCTTCCCGCCGCCTAAAGACGCCGGAACTCTGCCGCCGCGTATATTCTAGCACGCAACAAATACAATTGTTATAAATTTACAAATTATGATTAACCAAGACTTCGTTTAGGAAGACTTTCTTGTTGCTTCTTAAAGCAGTTTCTAGTTTAAAAATTTTAAATTTTGTTCTAAAAAGCTGCTTTAAGAAGCAACAAAAAAAAAATTGTCCCAAATGGAGCTTAAATATAATATCGTAGATTGAGAGATTGCTTATCACTATGAATTTTAATATAATCCGACTGCCAAAACATTTTACCCAAAGCGATCGGAAGGATGATCGAGCTTAAAATTTTAATAGCTTATCCTCGAAAAGCAAGAATTTCATGTGGCTGTGGTTGGAACTTATTGTGGGCTACTTCAAATATTCAATCTCTTTAAGATGAAGAAAATTTTTTTATATATATATTAAATTCAGCTTTGAATAGTGGAGATGATAATATAAGAATTGGTCTCCTCCATTTATATATTTTAGTAACTTAGGCCACCTAAAATGTCTATAATTCTACTTCTCTGTAAGAATGTCAGCCCTATATATATTTTGTGAGGCTTAGTCATGTGACCAATATTATTTTTAACATTATTAGACGGTCTAGCTTTTTTTGGTTGGTTGGCTTATCAATTTTATATTGAGTTCCAACATTTATTCCCGGGTTGGTCAAAGTATTTATAATGAGCATTAATATTCAACAAAGAATGTCTAATTTAAGCTTTTAGTTATGGGACTTATGCCTCTATAGTTATTTTAGTTAGAAATTCATACCTCATTAGTGAACCTTTGAGCGGCGAGGCGCCATCCGCGTCTACCAGCCGCTGATTCCTCTAGTATAACATTTCGTTTAACCCATTGAATAAAGTTGACGTGCATATGGACAGATGTAAGGGTTCGGAATCTGCGGAGAGACAGATTAACGGATAAAATATAATTTCTTTTAAATGTTTAAAGTAGGTGCATTTCGTCAACAATCAAGTACACCAAATCACGCGGGACTCGTTACAGATGTACGATTGCAATTTAATAGAATATTTACTCAATTTTACCATTATTAATTAAATAAATTATATGCATTAAAATATTTTTATATAAATAACTCTATCAAAATTCAAATTACAATTTAAATTAATATTATAAATATATTTTACGTTTTAAATATTTATTTTAAAAAAATAGATAAAATAAAATATGTAGTTTTTTTTGTTAGACAATAATTTATGACTTAAATTTGGTCGAGCTATATATGAACTAGCTCAAATTTAATATAATGAATAGCTTGTGAGTCTAGCTTAATGAGATTTTGAGTTAATCTTGAGTAGAGTTGTTAGCTTGCAAGGTAATTTGTTTAAATGTTTTTTTTATATAAAAGTAAATTAGAATTTATTAGACTATATAAGTTCAAATATGAAGCTGCTAAAAATATTTAAAAATTATATTTCATTTTTTAGGTGAAGTAATTCTCTATTATTTATCTTTAATAATTGTTACATAATCATATTTTAATTCTAAATAAGTCTGCTCATGAGCCAACTCAGGCTTCGTTTGAGATGACTTTCTTGCTACTTTTTAAAATAGTTTTTTAGTATACAAATCTTAATTTTTATACTTAAAAATTATTTTAAAAAACAGTAACTAAGTCATCCCCAATGAAGCCTCATTCTCATAGAATTAAACCGGAGCTCAAACTAGACTAATGAAATTAGCTGAAAATAATGGGATCATTTAATAAATTTTGTTCATCTTAGTTCAATTTATAAGATCATAATTTATTATTTAAATTTACTGTAATTTTCAAATACTTTAATATAATTAATTTCACAATTCAATATGAATTAGTTGATAACTTTTTTTTTGTAAATCAAATATACGAAGGAATAGAATCGAAATCCCATTTCCAAACACTTCCGTCCAACAAATAGCGAAAATAAACTTCGACGTAATTTTTTTAAGTATATAAAATATTAAAAAAAAAAATTCCGAAAAATTTTGCCGTCTGGCAACAAGCGCAGATCAAAATCTCATTTCAAAATTAATATAGTCAACGAACTTTTTAAAAATCAGACAACAAACACAAAAAATAAAAATAAAATTGAAAAAAAAGACGAACTTTGATTTGGCATCGATACGAAGAAGTTGCTCCTACTTTGCTAACACGTCACATTAAATAATAGTTTTGAATCAGAAAGCTGGATGAACAAACAATACTGCTTCAATTCATATAATCGACAATAATTACTAAAAAAGAAATGAAATTTGCTTCCCTCTTTCGATTTGGATTGCTCTAACTCAGTTCTAAGAAGACTGAAGAAGAAAAAGAAAAAGAGTATGAAACAATGATACTGTTGAAAATTGCTCGATTTTCAAAATTTTATTCTGAACAGGATGGTGGATATCTGCTGGAATCAGTCCATGGCGGAGCGGCGGGAAAGTTCTGCTCATGGGTCGTTCCTGGTGGCCGGAAAAGGCTCTGTCCGGTTTCTGACGGAGGTAAATAGAGCAGAGGCATCGAAGAAGACGAAGAGGACGCTGAATCCGAACCTCTGGTCAGCGAATGTGAAGACGACGCGATGGACGAGGTTGAATACATGAACTGACCCAATGGTGCCGTTGGCGGCATTCCTTGATACTCTCCGGCTCCCTGTAACACCCTCGTGTACTCCATATAATCTCTGGTAGCATCCAAGGATCGGAACCTCAGCAACGGCCGGTGCATAAAATGGCTAACTGAAGAACTAGATTCCGGCAATGGGATCGACGGAGGTTGATTGATTGGTTGCGGGAAACGAGCAGTTTCAGGAAAGTTGAGCTTTGCTCTGTTTCCACGAAACCGAAGCGCCGCTTCGTCGTAAGCCCTCGCTGCGGCTTCGGCTGTCTCGAAGGTGCCGAGCCAGACGCGAGCTGCCTTGTGCGGGTCTCGAATCTCCGCCGCCCATTTTCCCCAAGGCCGTTGCCGAACTCCTCTGTATCTCCGGCGAACTTCTCCTTCCTGCAATGCTGTCGAGGTTGCCGGAGCAAGGGATTGGGCTTCCTTAGATGAGCTCTGCGTTTGTGCTGCGTCATTACGAGAAAAACACGGTTAGATAGCGAATGGACAGATGGAGGTTTTATGTCATAAATAGCAAGCTATTTCGTTCTGATTGAAGAAAGTAAAAGGTGGCATTTTTTTCAGAGAAGATGAAATTTTTGGACGCATTTGAAGGTAATATTGGAAAGGAAATGATTAATGCCGAGTTCAGGTGGATGCTTGTGGTGAAAGGAAAGAACACGTGTAGATGCTTGTTGCAGCTAAATAAAGCAAGAGATAAGGATAGAAAATAGGAAAAGTATGTAAACCAAGAAAATGACAAACTTTTGTGTTTATCTACCCATTTTACAAAATAAAGAAGTTAGGCAAAGATATTTTTTTTAGGGAATTACGCTAAGAGTTTAGTTGAAAATATCTTCACAAAATTTGTGCTTTAGGATGAAGATCTAATGATTGCTCTCAGAAAATATTCAGAAAAGTGAAAAAGAGTTTTTTTTTTCTAATCTAAATAAAGAAAAGAATATGAAAGGAAATTGAGCGAAATTAAAGAAAAAATCGTTCCTTTAAAACATTAATCACCTGCTGTAGACGATGAAGACGCACCAGACGAACTCCCGAACTCGAGGAGCGCTCTGTGATATATTTTCAACTCCGAACTCTCTTCCTCTCTCTCTCTCTTAATCCCGCGGTCACCAAATGAGATGATAGATGACGATGGCGTCGCCGGCGAGTAAAGGCTCGAAGGAAGCGATCGAACAGTTACTAGCCGCCCACTCGTCCCAGCTGCCTGGTTGCCGGCGTCTGTGTGGTGTCCACTGGAAACTACATGGGATAGAGCAGACACCATGGCCGACATCTCCTTCTGCCGATCAATAATGGAAAGCATATCCGTAGAAGATGGCGGAGATTGCGGTGGCGACGACGGCGGAATTACCTCCGGTGTTTTCGCGGTGGGGCCAGCCTCCACCTCCTCCTCTCCCTCTGAGAAGAACCTCTCGATGTCCTCAGACTCGCTTGGTTGAGCCACCTTCATGCACAAGAAAAAGCTTTGCCTATCCTCTTCAGAAATTATCCTTTCAATCTCTTAAATCCTAGGAGAATACAACTATATATAAATAGGAAAGCAGCGAACATCCTGCAGAGCTCCGCCGCCTTACTGAGGTTTTGCACGATTTTTAATACGGATCCCATTTAAGTTTTTTAATCTTAAGATAATGGTTTACTTAAAGTCATTTAAGAGGATAATAAATCCGTTGTATATTGATTTGGAGCTTTAGCTTAAATAAAGGAAAAGTTATTTTGTGTGAAAGCCGAATGTCATTTGGAGATCAATCAGACTGTGACAAGTCTATCTCTTTGCTCGGTACCGCTCGGTACTGTTCGGTATCACTCAATACGATGCCTCGATATCAATGACATGATTGCACCTGATTCACCTCCGGACAGAGAGCTGCATTGGTAAAAGTGAGCCTATCTTAATTGATTTAAATGTTAAAATAAAATATAATAAGGGTCACGATAAAATGTATTAAGAAAATTAAAATTTTTACATCATTGAAGTTTATATCATTTAAAAATATTAAGTGGTTAAAATGGATCTATTTTGACCAACATTTTGATTTCTAATAAAGGTTACAACTAGAATACCCTGAAAAAGTTATGAATAAGCTTTGGTTTTATAACACATGTGAAGGATTAGAGTTCTAGGGCTTTGCTTGCTAATATGCTTAATGGTTGTTGGGTATGCCCATGAGACGTGTTGTTTACCCAAATGGAGGATATAAATCTATTTTGCTCGACCTTCGTTGATGTCCATTGTCACCTATTGTCAATGTCAATATAGATTATATTGTGACGTTTTCTGGTTCACCTGACTTCTACTAACATTTGTTTTCTATCTTTATTCTAGAGGTCTCAATATTTGACACAACTCAAAAATCTGAGCCGAATTTGACCTGAAAAATTTTGGTTCGGGTCAACCTGTTTGAAAAATGAGTATGGGTTCGAGTTTTGCATTTTGACCCATTTTTAATTTTGGGTCGGTTTCTAATCAACCCAAAAACTCGAATCACTTGAAATCAACTTGGATCCTGATCGGGGCATATAGGATCAATTGAGAGGGACCTAAATCTGACCAAAAATATATTTTGAGACCCCTACTTTGCCCTTTGTGACTCACCACCGAATGGAGCTAGGCTTATTGGATTACCTTCCACTAAGAGCTAACACTTTTTCTCATTTTTTACATTGAAAAGAAATGATTGGGTATTATAATTTTAGCTTACATAATTAAATTACTTCAATGTATCACATCTTATATATGTTTTTTATTTTAATTTTTTTTTATTCTACTTGAAAATTTTCTTATATTTTGTAAGCCATAATTTACTCATCGGCAAAGAATTAATGAGTGATGCTAATACTATATGCTTAACCTAATTATAATTGTTGCGGGCTAGAATATACGCGTCGATAGAGTTGCAATTCTACGTCTTAGCGTTGCATGGATATCCAGCTTACATACAAAAAACACAAGATTTTTTACGTGGAAAACCCTGGAAAGAGAAAAAATCATGGGGCCTAGCCCAGTTGAAAAGATTTCACTAGAATTTGAGTTGAGTACAGTGGGCTAATTCGTCCCAAAGGGAGATCAGATTACAAATGTCAATGGTTGAAGTCTAGTGTTAAATCTGGCATCACTTGGAAGTTGGGGCGTCAGTTGGTAGTCTGACAGTAACTTGGCAGAATTTTGGCTTTAGTTGATGGTCTGGTGGAGTTTAGGGCCTCAAGTGTTGGTCTGGCGGAGTTCAGATCCTTAGGTAGTGGTCCAGCAAAGGTGAGGGCCTCAGGCGGTGGTCCAGCGAAGGTGAGGAACTCAGGCGGGGCTCTGACGAAGGTGAGGGCCTCAAGCGGCGGTCCGGCGAAGGTGAGGCCTCAGGTGGTCTAGTGAAGGTGAGGGCCTCAAACGGCGGTCCGGTGAAGGTGACACTACAGGAAAATCACCCATTTCCGGCTGAAATTGAACATTTTCTAGTGTGAGGGCCTCAAGCGGTGGTCCGACGAGGGTGAGGGCCTCAGGCGGTGGTCCAGCGAGGGTGAGGGCCTCAGGTGGTGGTCCGACGAAGATGAGGGCCTCGGTGGTGGTTTAGTGAGGGTGAGGGCCTCTAGTGGTGGTTCGGCAGAGCAATGACGAAGGGCGGTGGTTCAACGGAACTCAGACGGTGGTCGAGGAGGAGCTTCTTCCTTCTCTTCCATTTCTTCTCTTCTTCTCTTTTTTCTTGGGGTCCGCTTTCAAGAGAAATGAGGGGTCTATTTATAGATTTCTAGAGTGACATGGCCCATAAATAGGTGAGAGATAAAGGGTAAATGAGGAGTGGTTGGATGGACGGTTGATGTTGAATCCCTTGATCATGGACCTTTTTATGGACATTTGAATGTCTTAGTGATGTCAAAGTTTGGTGATCTTGGGCTCGTTGGATTTGTCTCGTTGAGCCGCTCGATTCAACTATAAGTACGTTATGTTTAGAAACCGTTTGGTAATTCAAATTGTGGTTCAAACCTTCCAACAATGCTTCTAACCCTTGATTTGGACTCGTTTAGATTCGGATTGAGTTGGATTTGGTGTTGCTGGGTTTATATTCTCGAGACGTTTAGTTTGACTATAAGTTTGGTGAAATCGAAGTTCGGACGGTCCCAATTTTAATTTTGGAAGTTTTCAACTTGATTTTGCATCGAGATTCGTACCCAATCAAGATAATTTTTTTGATGACATATCAATAATATATAATACATAAATAAATATTTATCAAATATTAATTTATAAGTGTTACCATTACTGAAAAAACCCAAAATAATCAAAATAATTTGAGTAAAATCATGTATATATATTAATAGCACTATTAATTAAAATTCTTGAATAAAACGTTAAAACGATTATGATCATAAGTACAAAATTGCATCAATGTAATTTTAAGAAAATTAAAATTAATTATAAACTGCAAATATTTGGCAGTTATTTTGGAAAATAAATTAAGCTATTTGTTTACCTATAAATTATAATATATATGGCCTAAACTCATAACTTAAAAATAAATAATTTTCTTCAACCCGCTCTTACACATATTTGATCCAATAAATAATTTTTTATTAGATTTATGAAAAATAATTAATTACAGTAACCACTTGGTTAAGTACGCATCTGTTTATGTACGCATCCCGGTTAAGGGAGCAAAATTTTAATAGAACTTAGGTATCAAGATTTATAACTTGAACATGTCATGAATGACCATTTATGATAAGTTTTGCAATTTCTTAAGTCTAACATTGAGGGTTACTGCCTGAATATTTCTCTGCAGAGTTGGAATCATTCAATTGTTTTCCATTTGGTTTCTTAGTCATCTTCTAAAAGATAGGCGAGAGGTCGTACTTGAACGTGCTTTGAATCAGCTAATGACATGCGGATGTACGGGAGTGAAATCCTTCCAAGAGATAGAGTTGGAGTGTGGATGACCATATGGGAGATGAGCATGCAGATGATGGCTTGGCTTGCAGACAAAGCTGGGTCTGTGGATGGTGGTTGGGCATGCAGACGGAACTAGGCGTGCGGACTAGAGCGCGGCGTCGAATGGTTGACGTGAGCTGGGCTTGCGAACTGTTGGACGGGTGTGTGATTTGCTAATGGTGGACAGGAGCTAGGCATGCGGATGCAGACATGGCGTGGCTGGCTAGCCGGAGCAGAATCCTCAACTAAATCTAAGTATGCTCCTATTGGTTAGATACGCACGAAATTTTCGAATTGAACATAACATGCATACTTAACCAGGAATCTACATTAAATATAATTATTGAGTAAACGAGTTCTTTATATTTTACATATTCAATTTTAAGATAGCTAACACATTTATGGATGAACAAATTTTGAAAAGAATCACTATTAATATTTAAATTAGTTGTAGGAGCATAATATAAAATTAATTTAGAAATGAGCAAAATAGCCAAACTGTTTGGTGCATTCCAATAGTTTGGCGTTCTCAAAATACACCAAACTATTTGGTGCACTGCTACAGTTGCAAAATTCAATTAGAGATCAGACAAAATTTTATATTAAGCATCATTAGCATCATAATTAGTTGATTAAACACGCATGCAATGAACATTTTTCAAACTAGGCAAAATCGTCCATTTAGGGGAACAAGTGAGTTGCTCATTAATTTTTTTTTAAATCATATATATTTTGAATTTGTAAATTCATATATATTTATTGATTTGGAAAATTTTCTGTGACAATTAAAATACATATATATAT